AAACCCATGCTCTAAGGATTGGAGTGATTGATTTAATAGCATGAGAGACTGTAAGCTATAGAATAAAGGGAACCTCTGGGCTGGAATATGGCAACACCAGTCAAAATAGTAGTGGAATAGTGAAGGAACAGCGACACAGCTAGATGTGAGATGTCAGCTAGCAAAAATCATTGGCAGGCTGGGGAACTTGTGTTAGAGAGAAGTGTTTGGAAGTCTCCCAGGTTTTGTTTTTGTATAGCAGGATAAATAGGATACCTATCAGAATAGTACTTCTATGTAATGTTTATTTGTAAACCTAACCTTGCAGCCGGGTGCTGGTGGCTCACGCCTGTAATCCTAGCTACTCAGGAGGCTGAGATCTGAGGATCGCGGTTCAAAGCCAGCCGGGGCAGGAGAGACCGTGAGACTCCTATCTCCAATAAACCACCAGAAAACCGGAAGTGGCGCTGTAGCTCAAGTGGTAGAGTGCTCGCCTTGAGCTGAAGAGCTGAGGGACAGCGCCCAGGCCCAGAGTTCAAGCCCCATGACCGACAAAAAAAAAAAACCTAACCTTGCTTTTAAGTTAGTCCTTTGGTGTCTGTTCCAGTTGTTCTCAAGTTAGAAGTCCCTCTGTACTCATTATAGTTTGGACTTGAAATGTCCCCAAAGACTCTTATGTTGCTTTGTCCCCAGCTCAATCTTCAGAGGTGGAATTTAGGGATGTGATTGGATAAGGAGAGCTCTGACCTCCTGAATGAGTCCAAGCATTGATAAAGGGAGGTGGTGGAAACGGGGGGAAGTGGGTCACTGGGGGAAGTGCCTTTGAAGAGCCTATCCTGTCCCTGTCCTGATCTTTTTGGCTCTCTCGTCTCTGGCTGCCTTGAGGGGAGCAGCCTCCTGTGCTGAGTACTCCTGCTGTCATGATGGTCTGTCCATAGGAATGGAGCCAGCTGACCATGGACTGAAACCTTTGAACCCATAAGCCAAAATAAAAATTTCTTCCTTAAAAATTTAAAAAAACCCACTCACTGTGTATGGTTGTACATGCCTGTAATCTCAGTGACTTATGAAGTAGGGGTAAAAGGTTTGCAGTTTGAGGCCTGCCTAGTCAAAGTTTTCTAAAGTCCCTAGGTGACAAAACAAATATAAAAACAAAAACACATTGGGGCTGGGAAGATGGCTCAGTGGTAGAGTGCTTGCCTTGCTTGCATGAGGCCCTGGGTTCAATTCCTCAGCACCTCATAAACAGAAAAAGCCCGAAGTGGCATTGTGGCTCAAGTGGTAGAGCTCTAGCCTTGAGCTTAAGAACTGAGGGACAGCACCCAGGTCCAGAGTTCAGGCCCCACAACCGAAACAAAACAAAACAAAAAAAACCCCACCCTGAATCAAAAAGACTTAGGGAAGTGGGTTCAAGTGGTTAAGCAATGGCCTACCAAGTAAGGGTTGGTAGTTGCCTACTAATTCAAAGCTCTGGAGTTCAAGCCCCAGTATCACCACAAAGAACTCCCAAATATAGATTGTTTACTTTTGCTATTTTGTTACAGTGATATTAAACATGGGGAAAAGCAGGCGGAAGATGTGGGAGGCAGGCATTAATGGATGGTAGCTTAAGTTGGACACATCATAGCCCTTAAGTGCTCCATTTCTGGAGCAGAGTATGTGCATGTGGGTGCACATGTGTGTGTTAATAACCACACATCTGGAAGACCCTTAGTTCCTTCATCATCCTTCCTCAGAGATAGAAAGCTCTGATGAAATATTTTTGTCAATATAAAATGTCATTTCTGGAAACGCAATTTTAGATGTCAGTGGCTTGCCTCAAAAATGTATTTTAAAAATTATGAAACATCCAGTTTTCCTTCAAGAGTAAATGACATTAAAAAAAGAAAAAGGAAAAAAAAAAGAAAACAGGGTTGCTGTTGACTTAAGTGCTAGAATAATAGGTGTGCTTAGGAAGAAGCTGATATAATGAAGGAAATGGACTGAAATCAGTCTTTAAAATGGGTGAAGCAATCTTACAAGGTGCAGGGTGAAACTCGTGGAGGTTGGATGAATGGGAGGCAGCTCTGTGAAGTTCTAAAGGAATCCACGTAAGAAGGGAACAGGAAACTATCCCTAACATGGCCCTCACTTCTCTGGCTGGAGCAGTCAGTGCTGTGCATGACTACAGTTCTGTCCATTCATCCCTGTGCTAAGAAGGGAGCAGGATGTGCCAATGCAGCTCCACAGGAAGAATAGCTATTCCCTGGAAGCAGTTTTACTCTGTGTTCAGAGAAAGGTATGACGATGTTTCTCAGGCTTATAACACTATTACCAATGTCTGTGCAAGTTCTTGTGGGATAACCATAGGTTATCAGGAGCCTCCAGGCTCCACTGTCTTAAACTTTGCACTATATATTTTTGCCTATTCAAAAGAAATATACATTTTCTTACTATCCTGAATCTACATGCTAGAGTAAACCATGAAGTCTGCATTTCTATTCTGTGAGGCAAATAGCTATCTGAAGTGAAATCCTCCAGTTTGTGAAAAGAGCAATATTTGAGGTAATAGTCATACTGCAGGTATCAATACCTAAACAAAGCAATCTGAGATTGTGTCTAACAAATATAAGCCCGTTTTTCACATTAGTGAGATACAGCTTTAAAAGCATTAGCGAATGTTAGGAAATCTAAACGTTACAACTGTTGGGGCTGTAGGAAAGAGCCCTGACCTGCATATAACCAACAGAATTGTCAACAGTGATGGGAAGTCAGGTCCTTGATTAGGTCATGTCATATGACACACTGTCTTGCCAGAAAACACAGCTAGGAAATGAACTGTGCCAACCACCCAGAGAGCTTGCAAGTGTGTCCTCCTGAAGGAGCTTGGCTAGGTGGCCTTTTCCAGCTAAGCCTCCAGATGAGACTCCAGCTGACATCTTGACAAGGTCCTTTAACAAGGACCTTGGCAGAACCATGTCAAGAATTCAGCCTCGGGAACTGGTGCTGTGGCTCAAGTGGTAGAGCGCTCGCCTTGAGCTGAAGAGCTGAGGGACAGCACCCAAACCCAGAGTTCAAGCCCCACACCAAAAAAAAAAAAAGAAAAAATAAGAATTCAGCCTCTGTGAGAGAAAACATGGTTTGTTCTCAGCTGCTAGTTTTGTACTAATTTATCACCCAACAATAACAAAAACAGATTTTGGTGTTAGAAAGGGGGCACTGCTGTCACAAATACCCAAATATGTGGGAGTGGCTTTGGGTGTGCTCATTGAGCTATGGGTAAAGGCGGGAAGAATTCTAAGGCACGTCATAGAGAAGGGAGGGAAGTTGAAAATATAGAAATAATTCGGTAGCATATAGCTTTGTAAAAATAAAAATGCACTTATTGCTAAGGATAGAGAAACATGAAAACATAAGCTCTTGTTTGAACATCTGAATAGACAGAGCTGAAGCAGATCTGAGTGTAGCACTTTTGGGACACCCTTTCATGTACAAAGTAATTTAAATTTTTTTGGGGGGTCCAGTCGTGGGGCCTGAACTCTGGGCCTGGGCGCTGTCCCTCAGCTCTTCAGCTCAAGGCTAGCACTTTACCACTTGAGCCACAGCACCACTTCCAGCTTTTTTCTTTTTTGCTTATGTGGTGCTGAGGAATCGAACCCAGGGCCTCAGGCATGCAAAGCAAGCGCTCTACCACTGAGCCACCTTCCCAGCCCAGTAATTTAAATTTTTATCTGTCTATAAATATAGTAAAAATAGCTAGGTGCCCTACTCCTATAATCATGACTAGTTGGGAGACTAAGATCTGAGGATCATGATTTGAAGCAGTCTGGGCAGGAAAGCCTGTGAAACTCATCTCCAGTGAACCAGCCTAAAGGTGCACAGCATAAAGACAGCACCCAGATTCTAAGTCCAAGCCCGGCACTAAAAGTATATACAATTAACAATACTTATGGATAAGCTGACACTCCTCTGCAGTAAAATTATAGAAATTTTATTTAAATCAAACAATAGTTTTCTAAAAGTTTTTTGTTGTTGTTTAAGTCTGAAAGTTATTTAAAGCGTAACACGTGAGAAGTGCCAGCAATGCAGGCAGTACCTCCACAGGGAGTAATCAAGCAATGTCAGCCCTGCTTCCACCTTGTCCTGAAAAGACCATTGCATGAGTGGCAGAGCTATTACAACAGGCTACTGTGGCCTGGTACCTACACCATTTCATTTGTGTCAGAATGATAGGTGACTTCTTGGTACACTGAAAGCATCAGAAGCACAATCCCTTTGTAGTAAAAGTGGTAATTTGAAAATAACATTCTGCAATGTCTTTAGTAGAAGCCATTGTATGCAACTAGATTATAAATGTATTTTGCTATCATCTTTAACCTTTCCAATGGTCCATCTCTAATCTCTCCAACGGTCCTGTATGTACTATTCTGTGTGTGTGTGTGTGTGTGTGTGTGTGTGTGTGTGTGTATCTATCCTGGGGCTTGAACTCAGGGTAGGGGCACTGTCCCTTAGTTTTTTTTTTTGGGGGGGTCCGGTCGTGGGCCTGAACTCTGGGCCTGGGCGCTGTCCCTCAGCTCTTCAGCTCAAGGCTAGCGCTCTACCACTTGAGCCACAGCACCACTTCCGGCTTTTTTTTCCCTGCTTATGTGGTCCTGAGGAATCAAACACAGGGCCTCATGCATGCAAGGCAATGCTCTACCACTGAGCCCCCTTCCCAGCCCTCCCTGAGCTCTTTTGTTCAAGGCTAATGCTCTACTACTTGAGCCACAGCTCTACTTCTGGCTTTTTGGTGTTAATTGGAGATAAGAGTCTTATGGACTATCCTGCCTGGGCTGGCTTTGAACCATGATCCTCTGATCTCAGCCTCTTGAGTAGCTAGGATTACTGGTGTGAGCCATCAGCACCCAGCTGTATGTTATTCTTTATCAGCACAGAAAGGATATTTCTTCAAGGCAGATGGACTGAGGCTTTTGACACCATGCAAATATTAACTTTAAGCTAAGGACAAACCACTGAAATTATTCAACGTGAAAAATGAGAGCTTTCAATGCATTTGCCATTTTTATTTTGCTATGCAGTAACATCATTCACCATGGGCTGTGATGTGGCTGACAGGGAATGGAGAATATATCTTTTCAAAGGCTATTTATAACTAAACACAAATAGTTTTAATTACAGTGGAAATTCTGTACAGTTTAAGGCTTGGCTCTGAACTAGATTGTAAATATGGACCAGATTTGGAACTAAAACACCTTTTCTTCAAGTCAAAAAAGAAAATGAATGAAAAAAAAATACAAGGAAAAAGAAACAAAGAAAGAATACAAAGCAATAGAAGCCCAACAGGATTTCAGTGAAATTCCATAATCTTGTAAACTAACAAAACATAGGTTTTCTTCCCAAAACAAGTGATGATTTACATATTTAGGGGTTGTTAGGAAACTCCAAGAAGCTTTCTATATTGAACGTGGACCAAAGCGAACAACAAGGAAGAAATCACATGAATGTGCTAAAACTTGGTACCACCATATAACAAATTAAATGAAATACACAAAGCAATATTATAAGCATTAAATATTTCCAGAGGGTCAGAGAGTCATTACTGCATATGAATGAGAATAATAAAACCAGGTGAAACAAGTACAAGATTCAAGTTGTTTACTCAATAAACTTGGTATTGGCACATCTAATCTGGAATAAACTTGAGATACCAGACCTAGACAGCTTCTAGCATTTTAGGGTAATCTTCATTTAATCTGTAAACCAAAGATTTGTCACCTAAGAAGTTGCCATTTTTTGTGTGTGGAGACTTTAATAACGATAAACTATGAAAGGCGTGAGTTGTTTATGTGTTACATGAGATCACGGTTTATATTGTCGGTTATGAACGTGCAGGTAAGAGTTGAAAACTGAGACATTTTGTGAAAATTAAAAATGCTGCTCTTTTGTAATTTTACCGTTGCTTCATGCAGTATCAGTTTAGTGATGCTGATTCAGATTGCTTTATTATGGGAAGATCTCTCTGTCAGTGTCTTTATTAATAATCAAGGTCAATTCTTCTGGAACGGAATTTTCCACAGACAGATACAAGTCAGTTGGGTTAGAAGAGGGAAGTCCATAAAGGCTCTGGTTTTCCTAATGGTTTGCATGACTGGATTCATGTGCAAGCTAAGTTATTCCTGTAGAAAAGAGATTTCATTAGTTACACATTTGAAATCTTAAGAACTTTGCTCAGATCAAGGCCACAGAAAAGTATCTTGGAACATTTTTTGACAAGATATTGTCATATTTCTTCCTAAATCAGTTTCCATGATAAGGCTTATAATTAATTTTTGTTTTGGTGCTGGAGCTGGGACTTGCATTCTGTACCCAGGTGCTGTCTTTTAGTTTTTGGTTTTTGGTTTTCTCGAGGCTAATGCTCTATCATTGGAGTCACAGCTTTATTTCTGGCTTCCTGTTGATGAACTGAAAATTAGAATCTCACAGACTTTCCTGCTCAGGCTGCCTTTGAACTATGATCCTCCAATCTCAGCCTCCTGAGTAGCTGGAATTACATGAGCCACAAGTGCCCAGCTCTGTATAACAGAGTTTCTTTTACATAATTACAATATCACTAAGTAGCTGAAGCCCACTGAAGAAAGTCTTTGTATTTCACCTACAAAATAGATTATAAATTTGAAGATTGAATTTAGCATTGCTTTTCTAAGAGGTGTTACTCATCAATCCAAATGTTTCAGAAACCCTTTAGAGCACTTCCTTATGAAGTCTCTCCATTGTTCTGCCCTGTAAACACATGTGCAGATAGCAGTGCTGCTGTTGCATTCAGCATTCCAAGTGCTCTAAGGATGCTCATGGCCCCACGAGTGCTTGCACAGCAGGTCATATACATGGCATGACTGTGCACACACAGACAACAAGGTCTGCTCACCATGCTGGCCACACAGCAACTGTCAAGGCATGCACTTTCTAGAGGAAAACAGGACCACCAAAGCTATGTTTTGCCTCCTCCTGGGACATACTAGCACATAAATATTCCAAGGAATAAGTATTCCAAGGAATACAAGAAATATAAAGCCATCCAAAAGAGAAAGCAAGTGTTTAGGCTTCAAATTAACCACCCCTCCTCCAAACCAAAGCACAAACAAGCTGTTACCAAACACTGTTGAGTAAGCTTCCAAAGGATGATGTTATCAAAGGGAGAAAGCAGTGTATTTAATTTCCCTAAGTTGTAAGAACATACAGATTGAACCTCTGAGAACAAAACTGCTTTAGTTCTGATTAGGCCACATGGCAAGTGAAATCAAATTTGATATTTTAAATTTGGAAAATGAAAAAAGCCTGGATTAAAAGAGAAGCGTGATGAGCCCATGCAAACGACGACTCTTGCGTTTCCCTTTTCCTCTAACTGGCAATAGATGCAAGGAGGGAACTTGCAAACCCTAGACAACTAGGTACTCACAAGCAGATTCTCCTTTCACTTAGTAACCAGTTCCACCAATGCCAGCAAGAGGAAAAGGGAGAGGAGGGATTAGGTGAGAGATGGGAGGAAGTGACCCATGCCACATGCCAGGTTAGGCCAGCCTACAAAATCAACATCACCTCTTACCTCTAGTCAATCCTCTCCATCTTCTGGTGTGATTTCTGTCTCTTTATGGACCACTACCTTGGTCACTGACATGTCAGGGTGCTGCTCTTTGGCCTCTTTAATTGCCTGAGCCAGCGCCTATCCCCAGGAAATCACAGAAGGGTAAAAACAAAGAGGAGGTAGGACATGCGTGAGCAGTAGCAGCATGTAGACTTATGAGCTAAAATCCATACCCACAATTTACAAATGAGGTAACAGTGATTACGAGAGGAATTGAAAATCATTAATTCAGAAAGTGTTTTAGAATACAGGCTGCACCAGAAGAATAGCGTTGGGGTGGTCTTCGCCTCTCTGCAGGGAATTCACAACTCACACATCTTACCTGGTCATGGTCAATGTCTGCATCTCCTGTGATGACGATTCGCTTCTCAATTCGTGTCTCTGAAATGCCTCCTTTCACAGTCTGAAGGAAACAAAGAAGCAAGGAATCTATTCACTAGCAGGAGCCATTATGCTCCACAGGGGTCAGGGCAGAAAATGGTGACAGTGTGCAGTCCCATCTAAAACAGGAGTCTATGGTGGTTATGTAACATGTAATTCTGAAAGGAGGATAGAGTGGAGCTCTTTGGGTTTGGTGACCAGTATTTCTGGTAGGACTGCTCCATGTCCAATACCAGAGCGAGCCATTAAGCACAGAATAGCAGAAAGAATATTCTATTCCAACCCAGAAAGTAGCACATGAGACAAATGCATGGTAACTATGGAAGTTGGAAAGCTCCCCAGCAGGCAAGTAACTATTGGCTTGCAATTTGTCAGAGGTTGTGAGCAAGCTTCTCTCTTGAGCTCTCAAGGAGCATGCTAAAGGTTCCCACTTACTTTGGTGATGTGTGTGGTGGTGGTGGTACTGGTAGTTTCAGATGTGATGGTCTGTGCACTCATTAGCACTCCTGGCTCCAGATCAGCCCCAGAATCGACCTTAGCAAGCAAACAGATGTCACAGCCAGGTGTTTACATTTCCTTTTCATGAGTTTGCTATGTTATTTAAAGCATTAGTGAGTCAGCCCTCTGGATACACAGGCTTTACATCTGGGGATTCAACTAACCACAGATCAAAATAATCAGAGAAAAACAGTCTGGGCATGGATAGAAGTTGTGCCTTAAACAATATAGTATAGCAATGATCTGCATAGAATTTACATTGAGTTTTGTGCTGAAAGTCATCCTGAGATGACTTAAAGTACATAGAAGGATGTGAAACTGAGCATCCAAAGATTTTGGTATCCATAGGGGTTCTGGAACCCGTCCCCCACAATCAGGAAACTGGACTCTTTCCCCTACTCACTTCAGCTCAAACATAAATGGAACTTGCTCCTAAGAGAAAGAACTAAGCAAAGTCAGAGTTAATGGTCCTTAAAAATAAGTGCATTCAGGGGCTGGGAAGGTGGCTCAGTGGTAAAGTGCTTGCCTTGCATGCCTGAGGCCCTGGGTTTGATTCCTTAGTACCACATAAGCAAAAAGAAAAAAGCCGGAAGTGGCGCTGTGGCTCAAGTGGTAGAGCGCTAGCCTTGAGCTGAAGAGCTGAGGGACAGCGCCCAGGCCCAGAGAACAGGCCCCACAATCGGACCCCCCCGCCAAAAAAAAGTGCATTCAAAATGTGAGTATTTTTCTTTATCTTTGGCTACAGAACTAGTCTTTTGAATTTCCCTTGTGTTTTGAGATACTGGGAGTTCTGGCTAAGTCGCTGTGCCACGGCTGGCAGTAAGACTATGATTACCGTACTATTCTTGACAAAAGATGGCATGGCTGTGGGGTCCCGTCAAGTCTCCTGAGTGAAACATTGTGTGGTTATACCAGAATTCAAAGCCACAAAAGAGAGTCAAATGTAAACGTCCAGGACTCAGGTCTTCATAGATTGTCATACCTGGGATGATTCATACGTGATGGTTTTTGTTTCTGTGTGGACCACTGGCACTTCCTTGGTAGAAATGTCTAGCTTTACTCCTCCTGGTGAAATGCTGCCTGAACTCGTGGTTTCCATCTTCACAGTTGAAGTCTGTGTCAATGAGAGAAGTAAGCAAGGGGTTATTATAGCTTCTACAAACAGTTTTGTTTTTCTTTCTAATCCTTGGTAGTTTAGTACTTGATAGAAGTACAGGCTAATGTGAAATGTTTATACATTATATGGTGTGGCAAGTTGAGAAATGAAGCATAAAGTAAATATAGATCAGCCTTAAATTACACTGCATTTCTCTTTTTTGAGCTCAGTATCTTATGCTTGCTAGGCAGGTGCTCTGCTGCATGAGCCACACTCACAGCCCATTTTTCTTTAATTTTCAAATAGGGTCTTGTAGTCTGCCTAGGCTAAGATTTCAGTAGTGTTATTTCTGCTTTCTTTCTGCTTAGCTAACAGGCACACACCATTATGCCCAGGTTATTTTTTAATTCATTGAGATAGAGGCTTCACAAACCTTTTGCCTGGTCTTAAACCATGATTCTCCAGTTTTCAGCATCTTAAGTATCTGGGATTACAGTGTGAGCCACTATACATAGTTCCACTGCATTTAAAAATGGAATGTTCTAGGTAACAAAAACATCTTACAGGAAATTTGAAGTAAACTGTTTTGTTTGTAAGTTCCTCCCTCTCAATCTCACATGTATACTAATCGTAAAATAGAATAAAACCATAAATAAACTTTTTACTTAATAACCTAGAATAAAGGAATAAATATATAAGCATTATCCCTGACCCCCAAACACTTTGAGAATATGAATACAAGGTGATAAAGAGTTCTGGCACTTAGACCTTGGGTGGGCTTAGTTTTTGGTTCCTCTGTATGTGATTGAAAATCAACTTTTCTAGTCTTGGCTCACTAGTCTAGTCTCAGCTCTACTACCAATTTTAAGTTCAATAATAGAAACCACTTCCTGAAGCATTATATTATTGATAAGCAATAGATCTGTTTGCATGTCAACCCAGAGCAGAAAACCAGCATGAGAACCCTACATGCTATGCAAGAATGGAATAAGACAAAAACCAAACCAACCACACATGCAACAAATAGAGAATTCAATTCAGTTCCACTTTTACACTGACCTAACATCCAGAGCATTACTATGTTAGTTTTTTTAAAATTTTTATTATGAAAATACCGTACAGAGGAGTTACAATTACATGGGCAAGATAATGAGCATATTTCTTATCAAGCATTGTTGCTTCTTCCTTTGTTTCCCCTTCCTATCCCTTCCCATATCCCCCCCCCCCCCCAACTGTGTTAGTTTTAATGCTTACAGTAACATTAACTACCACTTACCTCCAAGTGGGACTTTGGTTCTGAAACTTCAGAAGCGTGGACTGCTGAGCCCTGCTCCTCCACTTGCTTGTGGGAAGCAGTGGCTGTCTCTTCCTGTTCAGAGGTAGCTTTATCGCTTCCCCCTCCTTCCTCTTTGGCCCCTTCCATCTGAGGAGAAGGCTCCTTCTCTTTCGTACCGGAAGCATCCATGGACGTGGCATCTCCCACGTCCCCGGCATCCCCACTGGCATGGACATTCAACACACGTCTCTCCTCCACCTGCACCGTTTCCTGTACCACCTTCTCAGTACTGTGGGGCTGGCGGTGTGAGGTGGTGGTTTCCGTCTCCATTTCACTGGACTCGGTTTTCGTTTCCACTTTCTGTGTGGGAAGATTATGGTGTCCATAATCAAAGATCAAAATAAACCTCAAAACTCTAGAGACAACATTCGCTTCCTAAAGTCAACAGCAAGTGCTTATAAACACAAACACTGATAAGAAACATGAACCGGCTTTCATTCCTCCTGTTAGAAGCTCTGATACAGGTCATCCAACACACCAGACCCTGTGATGGTACATCAGAGCATCCACAGAAGAAAGAGAAAACAGTAAAATATGCAAATAAAACATAACAGAGCATCTAGTACCTTCATGGTGGCTTTGCCTGCCCAGTTTCTTAGACCCAATGAATGAATGAGACCTAACGTTTCTAAGTATCAAATGCTATGAAAATTTTTCAACATGCTTTCATTATGGATACGTGAGGTACATTCTTGAAATAGAACAAAAGACATTGGACAACCATGCAAACAGGTACAAAAGACAATCACAGAGGACATGTGAACGCAAAGCTTCTTAGATGCAAAACCCAGGTACCACCCACCCACCACAAAGACACAAAGCAAAGCAAATGGCCACATAGAAAAACACTGAGTAAGGAGCAAAAGGCCACCTGGACCCAGCTTTGGGAAGTAGACGTGACCCCTCCTATGAATTCTGTTGGCTTTCTTGCAGACTCTAATAGACTGAAGATTTCAGAGCCATCCATGAGCTTTTCCCCAGAAGACTGCTTAGTCTGAGAGAACAAAGAAACAAAGCAAAGTCAAGCACGAGAGAAAGAGAGAGGGAGCGAGAGATACGTTCAAAGCTTGTTAGAATCAAGGCAGAGGAAACAGGGAGAAGGAATGAGGAATCCACCATACAGAGTTGGAAAACAGAAAAGAATGGTAAATAAAATAGCAAACGAGGGTGACCATGAGCTCTTGTTTGCTAAAGCAGAGAGAGTTATTAGGATTAGGGTAGTGCTGACTTAAGCAGATCAATTTTTCCGCCTTTCATTGCAAGCTACAGCAACATTATCACATCTTGGGAAGGGAAGCTGGAAATAAAAAATAAAGTGTTTTAATGCTGACTTTGAACTGCAGTGTTGATTTAACTAGGAAATTAAAAAAAAAAAAACAAAAAACAACTAAAAAAGCTGGGTTGGCTGCTTCCAACATAAAGCCAAGCAGCAAGAGAAACGGAAGGGTTCAGGGTGTAAGGGTACTGCCTCAAAAGATGTCATGCTGGAATCTTAAGCCGATTGAGAGCCACTGGTTACCACTACTCGGGATGCTGACGACTCAGTGACGTAATGAGCAGTAGCAACTGTGAAGGCCGGTTCCTGGGAGTATCTCCACTCGGACAGGCTCTTCCTCCGGGGACCGAAGAGTCCCACTTTCAAGACTTCACTGTCTTGTACCTGCTCCATCTTGCTGGATCGCTTGCTGTCCGTGTGGAGGTGAGTGGACACATCCTGGCTCAGCATTGGAGTCTTCTGAAGTTCATCTTCCTCAGGACTCTGCCTCCGAGACTCCGCTTCTTTGATGGGTGCCAGGGATTCTGACAATTTTCGCTTTGCACTTTGTGCCTCTGGGCCTCGCTTGGATTTCTCATCGGAAAGGGTTTCCAGGACTTCATACTCTGCCAGGACAGGGCCCACCTTCCCTGATTCTGACCCACCTCTCTCCATTTTCTGCAGAGCTTCCGATGTGGAGGGCTGAATCACTCTTTCCCCCTCTTTACCTTTCCCAGTCATAGTAACAATCCTGCCAGAGACGGTGTCATAGGATTTTCCAAGTGTGTATATTTTTTGCTTGCTCTCTTCTTTCAGTTGCATTTCTTGGGCCAAGTCATCAAAGCTATGCATTTCAATAGCACTAGACTTTAGCACTTCGGCAGGGAGGGCACTGTCACCAGTTCTACTGCTCAACATCACCACCTTGTAAGTCACGATCTTTTTCGAATCACCATCAACTACCTCAGTGGGTATTTTGTCTACAATAACCCAATCCTCTGTGCCCTATATTTGAAATATAAAAGCTAAATTAGATATTCTGATGACATCTCACTTCTAAAATAAGAATCCTTTAAGAAAATGAGGGTGAGAGCTACATGCAGGTTTGTAGTGGGATTGGATCTAGTAATTATGGCTGCAATCTTTTCTCATCTGAGTTGACTACAACCTTCCATGTGGAATACATTTTGGGAAGCAGGCTTGCAATTTCAGATTTCCTTAAATAGGAAGATGGTCTGATGGTGAATTTCAAAAGAAACTTACTGGCCCTATGGTACAATGATTAATGTGCATTTCCAGATTAGATAACATTCCTGAGGTCACTGTACAAGTCATTCAGATTTCGGTGTGTGAACGCTGAAAGTATAGTTTTCCATGTTAAATATAGTACGATAGTCTCACTACTTGCCAACACTATAACTTTCTGTAAATACCATTTTACATGTTAATAAATTGTACTTCTTGACCTCAGGAAGTCAATCCATGTAATAATAATCCCATTGGTGGGACACTACTGGATCCTTGTATAAATGAGTCTTAGAGGTCTGTACAGTGTTCCAGTTTTAATTATAACAGAAGTCCATTGTCTGTGTAGCTTCATTTCCACTTTCTTTAGTGTTAGTTACCAGGCAATGGATAGTTATGAAATCTTTGCCTTCGGGAAAATCTGATAGGATGTGATAGCTTAATGCTGACCCATCTCCTATGTTATAGAGGGCAGGAAATGCAACAGGAACAGATGAATGCCTTGGTTCACATTTTAATCTAGTATGCTCCCTATTTTTGTATTGGTTATAACTGAATTCTTGAATCAAAATGTATGTTATGAGAAAAATGTGTACAGAGATTGATGTACATGTCAGTTGAGTTAAATGATCTTAATTGAAAAAATAACCTCTAGGGTGGATGGAATAGTTTTCTGGAAAATTATTTGATGAGACGTGGACACAGATTCTGCCGAGCCTCCTTTCTGGATTTTCTTAAGCATACTTGGCTAGTGGGAAAACCAATACAAGTTCAGAATTTCCAAAATCAGTCAAGGTCATCTAAATTAGCACCATTCTGGGTGAATACAGACAATGAAAAGTTTTACAGAGATTTCTATCAAGATAAGCAATAATAAAGCTTCAGTGGTAATTTACAGACAGAATGACCTAGAAGCAAAAGTCATAGAGATGCCGAACCAATAACTAACATTCTAAGAAAATTCCTTCCCCAGAAGCTATGGCAATGTAACAAATCTACCTTAGTTTAAAACAAGAAAATTTCTAAAAGATAAAAACTAACACACTTTCATTAGACACTGATATTTGAAGAACAATTCTTTTTGGAGAAATCCTTTTTAATTTTTTTTTTTTTACCTGAGACCCAAGAAATGGAGAACTTCCTTGTTGCAAAAATATAACTTTTTCAGAACTTTCTCTTTCTTCTTTGGTCTGTTTGAATAGAAGGGGTTGGGGTGGAGAGGAGGAAGTAGACAGGTAGAGAGTTTCCAAAAAGGCAAGTTAGGAAGAGTCCTGTCCTTTCATATATATATACATATATATATATGTATATGAGTAGATACACATACATTCAATCATTTATTTCTTTTTCTTTGCAAGGATATAAACTGCAAGGATATAAACTATTCTTAGTTAAATTCAGAAGGTAATGACCATTTCTGAAACTTGGTTGTTCGTGCAACATATTTCTACAAAACACAGAATAAAAAAGAGCTATACACAAAGTTTCATGATGTTTAAAGTGTCTGTATTACTTACCATCAAAGTCAGCACTAATGAAACAAAATGTGCGGAAATTAAAAAGTGTATGTTAGGAATCTACTCTCACTTCTACCTCTGATAAACATTTGGTGGAGTCCACAATTCCTGTGCTGCCCAGTGTGGGGGAAGAGAAATGCCCACCAGGTTAGTGTATGGCCCTTAATTGCATTGACTTGTGTGTGTGTGTTTGTGCACTTGACAGTAGTGCCTTGAACTCAGGGTATGTGCTCTTCTATGGCTTTTCTGTTCAAGGCTGATGCTTTACCACTTGAGCCACACCTCCACTTCTGGATTTTTGCTGATTAATTGGAAATAGGAGTTTCACGACTTTCCTGCTTGGGCAGGCTTTGAACCTTGATCCTCAGATCTCAGACTCCTGAGTAGCTAGGATTATAGACCTGAACCACTAGAGCTCAGCTTTCTACCTTTTTTTTGGTACCATAAGTAAACTAAGCTTTAGTTGAACATGTGTAATATTGAGAATAATTTTTAAAAGTTAACCTCAAATATTTTTCCTTAAAACATAGAACTAAGAAACATGTATTTATTTAATGTTGGTTGTGGGACTTGAACTCAGGGCCTAGGCACTGTCCCTGAGCTCATTTGCTCAAGGCTAGGGCTTTGCCACTTTGAACTATGCTCTATTTCTGGTAGTTGGAGATAAAAGTCTTATGGACTTACTTCTGGGGCTGGCTTCGAATCTCAGTCCTCGGATCTCAGCTTCCTGAGTAGCTAGGATTACAGGCATGAAACACCAGCATCTGGCATTGCCATTTATTTTTAAGCTATTTTCAATTCCTCTGTTTGGTATTAGATAGACATAACTCAAATAGTGAGCCAAAAGTTGAAATCCCTTCATCTTACCAGACAAGGGGCAGAAAGGATATTTTGGAAAATTAAACTAAAAAATTAATCTGAGAAAACTAGGTTTCTAGAAAAATGGAACTCTTTAAAAAGATCTTATCATTATACAATGCTCAATAGGACATGTACTCATTACCTTACTCATGTAACTGTAACCCCTCTGTATACTATTTTTACAATAAAACATAAAAAAGATCTTATTCTAAACAATATAATTTTATGAGCACAAACTGTTTACTAATCTATCTGTAAGTACGATATTGAATCATTTGTCAAGAGGTTGTAGGAGAACATCTGGAATATTCTCCTGCAGGACCTGCTAATAAATTTCAACAACACCATTCTCTGCTGACACTTTCTAATGTCAGATGAGTAACCTATTCTCAAAGGAGAAACAAATTCTTGTCCTGCTGTAATTGTGGAGGAAACTATTGGAAAAGACAAAAATGCACAATTGTTAAAATGTGGATCATTAAAATGTGCATTAAAAAACTCTTTCGATCATATTCTCAATTTTTCACACAGAATGGAGAAAGAGTCCAAACTGCAGATACTTTTCAGAATAATAGTACTTGACCTCTAATTACAATCACTGATCTAATAACATTCCTAAGATAAAAGCTTTAAGAAAATGCCCAGTGGTTTTCAGCATATGCTGCTGTTCCCACATTAATTTTTAAAAAATATCTACGTCTTGTCATTGGAAATGTCAGCACTGGCTACATTCAACTATGTCTATCAATGACAGAAACAGAAAACATAAGGGGATAAATTTTAGAATTAAATTCACCTCCTAGGAGAATGAAGAGGTACTTGATAAGAGAGCTTGGTATTTTAAAAATGTACATTTATCAGAGGTTAGAATATAGTCAGATATACCAATCATTTCATTTAGGCTTGTAAAAAAAATCACACTTGCCGGGCGCTGGTGGCTCAGGCCTGTAACCCTAGCTACTCAAGAGGCTGAGATCTGAGGATCATAGTTCAACGCCAGCCCAGGCAGGAAAGTCCACGAGACTCTTATTTCCAATAAACCACTCGGAAAACCGGAAGTGGCGCTGTGGCTCAAGAGGTAGAGCGCTCGCCTTGAGCTGAAGAGTGCAGGGACAGTGCCCAGGCCCAGAGTTCAAGCCCCACGACCGACCCCCCACCACCAAAAAAAAAAATCAAAATCACACTCATGTTACACTTGGGAAATAAGGTCTTATTCACACAGTTGTTGTCATTCATTCTTTGTCAGCTAAGTTTCTACAAGTAAATTTTAGGGAGTAGATGAATTTAAAAATATAGAATTTAGGAATAATGGGAGTCAAGGAATCTTGCTCAATCTAGCTCAAGGAACTACATTATATATAGTATATGATAAACATCATATTCACTATTATACAGTGAGCACAACTGCGAATCTACTCACACAAAGAAGAGGACAATATTGGCACTGCAGAGGTATTACTGGGTATGGATTTAAAAAATCTTGGTTTGAAACTTCTTGTTTCAAGTAACCACTAAACGATGCATGGGCTAGGCCTAAGAGCATCATAAGGCCATTGTGGGGAATGTTTGTGGGCAGCCATACACATGGAACCTGGCATAGACCACACACCTAACCTATTTGGTGGGCCCTGCTTTCCAATGTGAACAGCGCTTCAGTTTTTTCTGTTGCTACTTATCTGCTATTAACTCAAACACTTGAAACCACTGACAATCGAATTCCCATTTTTATATATGATAAACATATATAGTTTCTAGGCCATAATAATCATTATTAGAGCTGGGTGCTGGTGGCTCACGCCTGTAATCCTAGCTACTCAGGAGGCTGAGATCTGAGGATCGCGGTTCAAAGCCAGCCCGGGCAGGAGAGACCGTGAGACTCCTATCTCCAATAAACCACCAGAAAACTGGAAGTGGCGCTGTAGCTCAAGTGGTAGAGCGCTCACCTTGAGCTGAAGAACTGAGGGACAGCGCCCAGGCCCAGAGTTCAAGCCCCACGACTGACAAAAAAAAAATATATATATAATCATTATTAGTGCATATGTATTTCTGATCCTAATTTTCTCCTAACTGTTCATAAGTGGGTGACATTTTGCAGAATGAATAATTAAAATAAAAAAATCAAGTACCATACATGTAACAAATAAAATCAATGGTCATTACACTTTTTACCCCCCCAATAGTTTAGCACTGATATAAATTAAAAACCAAAACTAAACCTAACTAAACTTGGGCTCATAAGTTTAGTGTCACTGATTTACATTTCTTCTTGATGTTAACATTAATAGTATTACTTAAATTGGGGGTGTCAATTTAAAAAAATAAGTCAAACATTTCTATTTGGAAATAAGTAGGCCTCTTTTTGGTTGATTAGTTTGATTAAAGTGGTTTATATTAAATAATAGAGTGACATTAAATTAAGTAATATACTTTCTTTAAATAAGTTTTTTTTATTGTGAAAATACCATACAGAGGGTTTACAATTACATGAGCAAGGTAATAAGTACATTTCTTATCAAGCATTGTTGCCTCCTCCTTTGTTTTTCCCCTAATCATCCCTGCCCTCCCATCTCTATGACTACACCCCCCCCCATAATATATTTCTTAAATCACTATATTTTATTTAGACCTGCTGGAGAGTAAGGTGATCTTTGCTGCAGTTTCTAAAACTAGTAGTAGAAGCTATGTTTTTAATATAGAAATTGGCAACAATTTATAGCATGAAAACTTTCTGGTTTAAGGCTACAAGGGCCCTCACTGGAAACCTTGGCCATCACTGATGACCATCAGATCCTGGGGGTCGGGGAGAAACAGAAGGGGATACGGCGGCCTTTCTACCTGGCCCTGCTGTCCAGTGATAATCTGACCACCTAAAGAAAGCTCTCTTCTTTTGAGACTTAAAGCTCTTTTGATAGTTACATTCAACCAGTCTTGTTTAGAGTTTAGCCTAACACCACCTGCCATTTCATCTGTGCATACTAGCATAGCAGCATTGATGTCTCACATACAACTTAGTAGAGAAGTCACCTTTGGATCTCTTATTTAAACACCTAAATGTGTTGCCTTTCTGTGGGGAACATGTTTCTTTTCTTGGCCTTCTCCATTGTTTTAGCACACACATATAAATGACATCAACATCTAAAGAAAGTTCAGTGTTGTCAAAATATTATCTGTTTAAAGTTTTAATGCTTTTGGGATTCACCTAATATTGTTCTCTAAGATTCAGGATTTAATTAGAAGTTAAAAAATTGTGAATATAATGGCTTTGACTTTTCAAATGCCCTTATTAACTTCCCTAAGTTATAATCTAATATTTCATTCAAAATGGCTATCACCTGACAACTATTAGTGTGTGACTAAATATTTGGCTTCCTTTTGTTTGTTTGTTTTTCTTTGGGTGGCTTTTTTATTCTATTTTCTTTTTAATATCTTTTAAAATTGTTATTATAAGGGTAATGTACAGAGGGGTTACATTTATACAAGTCAGGTAAAGAGTACGTTTCTTTTTGGATGATGACATTCTTTCCCTAGCTGTCTCCTAAGTGACTTTTTTATTTTGTATGTTTGTAATTTAACCCAGCATCTGATATCTTTAGAGCCAGCATGTTATTTCTAAAAAAGAGGGCAAAAACAAAGTAAGGCAAACCTGGCCAATTACAATTGAATTTGTGATAGCATAATTCATAAAGTGATATCCTTAGTAATATAAGAGCTTTAATACTTAAACTAGATATAAAATGTTTGTGTCTTGAAACTCAAGTAATTTGAATAGCACTGATATTCAATGGTACCAGGCATATTTTGGTAATATTATTTTCCATTTATTGTGCATAAATACTTTTCAAAGTAAGCCAAATGGGTAAGTATTTCTATCTAGCCAGCTAGACCTGGGACTGGCTGTGATAGAGATGTGTTGGCAACATTTTATAAATAGCTTTCAGAGGAGGCTTAGAAAATGATCAACAATGGAGGTAATTTGACTCTTGTTTTAGGATTGCATATAGACTGCTTTGAGTATACAAAGGTCTCTCTCCATTTCTATTCTGTCTCAGCTTCCTGGACAAATAGTTCACAATAAAGAGGTCTTTAGAAGATGGATGTTAATAGATACAAAGCACGAAAGATGTGGTTTTCAAAACAAAGGGAGCCTGGTGCCAGTGTCTCAAACTTGCACTTCTAGCATTCCTAGCTAATTATGAAGTTGAGATCAAAGGATCAAAATTTGAAGCCAGCCAGGGCAGAAAAGTCCATGAGACTCTGACCTCTAATTAATCAATAAAAAGCTGAAAGTGGAGTTGTGGTTCAAGTGGCAGAATACCACCTTTGAGTGAAAACAGAGAGGGACAGTGTCCAAAAGCCCTGAGTTCAAACCCCAGTACTGGTACCAAAAAAAAGGCAGAGAGAGAGAGAGAGAGAGAGAGAGAGAGAGAGAGAGAGAGAGAGAGAGAGAGAGAAACAAGAGAGACAGACACACAGATAGACAGAGAATATAATAATGGAATCTAACAGGAAACAGTACAGTCAATACTACAGCAATATAATGGATGTTGAAATAATTGTATCCTCACTCTGTCATACATTTAAAGAAAATTTTCCCTACTTAAAAAGAAATTTCTATTCTCTGTTTTGTTCATTAAAATAAATACCAATTATAAATTAGAAAAAATAGCAAATTATAAATATAAACGAAGTAAAAGATTCAAAAGCCTGGTGTAGTATATCAGAGTAAAATGTATTCTGAAATTCTACTAACTTCTAGTCACTAAACAGTAGTCAATCATTTTTTGTGGGGAAAAGGCAATATTGGGGCTTGAACCCTAAGCTTTCATTTGGCTTTATCATCTACAGCTGGTGCTCTACCATTTGAGCTAAACTTCCAAAGAGTAGACATTTTGCAATAGATAGAAACATACCAGTATATTTTCAGGGCATTTTCTCAAAGCAGAAGAATGTATATCCAAAAAGTGTGATTTTACTTAAGATAGTATCTTAGCCTCTTCTAGCTATATAATCTAGATGTGTGATTGGAATCAGCTGATTTGCACTACTGTCTCCCTGTGGCTTCTTGGTGATTCTCAGAACCACCTAATGTCATTACTCTTGCTCCAGTCAACTGCTTATTTTACTTGGTGGTGGTTTTCCTTCCATGAGAAATGAGCTTCTCTACTCAGAAGCTGGTCAAATCAATTTTCCCTGTTCTAAGAGAAGTGATATCAGTGACTGGAAGACAATTCCATCCCCAGATTGGATACTGACCTCTTCAGGTACAAGTGGTTCAATCATGGGCGCATCCTCCTGCCTGGCAGCCAGTCGCACCGGGGAGGTAGAAAGCCTCTTCTCCCATTCATTTGTTATGGCAGTGTCTGTTGAGGTTTCTAAAAAGGTTCTTTTCAGCTCACTAATATTGGTTTGATGCTTCATCAGTTCATCCTGAGTTTTATCTAGCTCCTGGATGCAAAATGCAAAGAATCCAACAGTTAATCTTCTGTATGTTTTCCTTTCAGCTCTCTTTCTTCTTAAAACTAACCAACCAAACAAAAATGAGCAATATAAATCTGATTAGTAATCAAAAGAAAACTGAATATTGATTAGGGATCATGACATTGCCACAAATACTCTGGCGAAAATGTAGTATTTCTAGAGAGAAGAGACAAAGAAAAGAAAAAAAAAATCTAGTTTCACACAAGCATCTGAAATTACAAAACAAGGAAAAATTTAAAAGGTAAACTGGCAGGAGCTTAATTTACATGTAACTGGAAAGAATGAAAATAAATACATATCCAGGAAAAGGGATCTATTTCTAAGAGATAATTAGGAGTCAGAGTAAGTAAAAAGAAGAAGTCATCCCCACTTCTAACAGGTGAGCACAAAGTTCATGCATCATGGTATGAGCCCACAGGTGTGCCACAGAAGGAAAACACACACATACACACACGAACATGCACTGGTATATACCAATACCAACCTCTAACATAAGATTACTATGTTTGACATACACATTTTCACCCTTTATTCGCTTAATCAGACTATTCTGAAAAAAGTGGAGAAAAGAAAAGGAAAAAAAGTAAGGGACATAGTAGTCAAGGGAACATGTCATCCTATGCAATGCACCAGAGACATGTTAAAAGCTACAGAGCATGCGGAGAGACCTGAATCCATAGACAAACAATGGCTTATCACAAATTGGGTTTTGGTTTATTTTCATTTTTCTACCTGTGCTTTGAGCTCTGCATCTTCCTCCTGGTCCGACTTGCCAGCATCAAGAAAGAGTGGGAAATAAAGTCTTACCATGGAATTCTCTAAGATTGAAAAACTGGCTCATATAAAGTTCCTAAGTATGGATACTGGTGTGCTCTTTCATGCGAATGCAATTCTTTCTTATGTACAAAGCACAAAACTCTTATCACACATATTATGATGCTGAATAAGAACAGAGGAGTTAACGTTTCCTGGCTCCATGGGCAGCTGGCAATTGGACAAGTGGATATATATGTTTGGGAAGGTGGGGGCAGAGCTGTTGGTAGGTTGTCCTTACTGGACACTAAGTGATCCCAGAAATATGGGGAGTCTCATTATAATTCCGATGTGTGGTTATTATTACACATAATGCCTGCTTCTTGTAATATATGAATCCTCACAATAAATCTCGTGAATTTAGTTATTACAACCTCTAATTTGAGGACCAGAGAGCTGAGGTTCATATAATTTTACAAGGAGGTCCTTGCAACACCAACCTCCTTTCCTGGTACACTGGTTTTCTTAAATCCAAAGGAAAATTTAAGGAGGAAAGACTGATATGAGTTTAGTAGGAAAGCTAAAAAAAATCAACTGCCATCGACTACCATTTTTAAAAAATGAGAACAGAAGAGTTTTTGAGTTTTAGAAAAATATCCATACATATATACATATATTAAATCTCAAAACGACTTCATTATCCTTGGCTTTCTAGTTTAAGGATCTAATTCTTGGACTTCTCTGAGCATGAGTTGAGCTGGGCAAGGCACGAATACCTGCATGTAAGACAGTTTCTCATCATGGCTCTCTGACCCAGGGCCTGGGATTTGTGTTCCAAGCAGAGACCCAAAGTGAAATTGAGAACAAAGTCACACTCAAGAAAGTTTCCTTGGAAGCGGTGCTTTGGCTCAAGCAGTAGAGCGCTTGCCTGGAGCTGAAGAGCTCAGGGAACAGTGTCCAGGCCTAGAGATAAGGGTGCCTCCCTCTGCTACACATTCCACAGGGTATTAGTGCTACAATGGCCAGGTGAACAAAGGGCAGTGTGAAAAGGACCACAGGACACTGGTGCGGTGCTGCTGGGATGCTAATTATTAAGTCTGTAGTGGCTCCAAACTCTCCACTCTATTTTTAGGCTTCTCAATCTAGTTAGGTATTCACTTGTATGCTTTGTATTCATGGGAAGGTGTGGGGGAGGGCACAGAACTCAAGGGAAAAAGGGTGAAAAAGCCCAGCAGTGGAGTTCACTGGACACTGGACACTGATGAACGTGAACTATATAACTTGTGGGAGGTGATAAGAGAGAGGAACTGGGAGAGAGTGAGAGAACACATGGTACTGTACCAAAGGAAATAAACTCATTACCATACTCATGTAATTGTAATCCCTCTGTACATCACCTCTATAATAACAATAAAGTAAAGAAGTTATATAATAAAATTTAAAATTGTCATACAAACCTAAAGCATTATCATGAAAACACTTTCCATTTCTGGTATAGATTAGGATTTTGATGACATTTTTGGAGTGTATTTATACTGTAGGTATAGGTTACAAAACAGGTGTAAAATTTTTTGGTAAATTTTAATTTCTTCCATCCAAGTACTAACCAGGCCCGACCCTCCTTAGCTTCCGAGATCAGATGAGATCGGCCACCTTCAGGGTGGTATGGCTGTAGATGGTAAATTTTAATTTCTATTGTAAAGGTGATGTACAGAGGGGTTGCAATTACATAAATCAGGTAATGAGTACATTTATTTTTGAACAGTGTCACCCCCTCCCTATTTTCTCCCAGTCTTTTCCTTCCTGAGCCCCTTTCCCTCACAGTTGTATAGTTCACTTTCAACATGGCATCTAGTGAGTATCACTACTGAATTAGTTCACCCTTTGTCCCACTGTTTCTGTGCTTCCCTCCTTGCCTTCCCCAACACACAAGACAAAAAGTACAGAAATAAAAAACAGCAACAAAGGGGAAAAATAGAAAAAAAGCCCACAAAAAGTAAACTAAAATATCTCTTGTTTCCATTTCTTGGAGCTCATTTCATTAAGTATCATCTTATATGATCATATTCATATAGTTATTGAGCCTTTGTGATCCTCTCCTCAGAATATCCTGCTTTGGTCTCACTGTGTGAATGTCCTGTTTAACTTATCATGTTTAAATGTAATGTTAAATATATGTTTGGCACAAAAATAAGTTGACATAGCAGATTAACCCATGACTGAACAAAAGTCTGGGTAAGAGTTTTACACTGCTATCTTTTACTTCTAAAAATTATGATTTTTAAACTGTGAATTGAACTCTGGTGTTTCAAAGGAAAAAAAAAACAATAAAATGTCATCATGGATTTTTTTTCCCAAAGACATTTTCAGTGAGGTGATGTACTGATACATTTTTACTGATATATTTTACATTTTAGTTCATCCTAAATAACCAATTAGGAAAAATCAGTATAATTGGTTGTAAAAAAATCACAATATAAATAAAATTTATTGTATATTATAAGCTAAATTCTGCTAGTACTGTGGGAAATAGACTAGCAAGTATTAAAAATGACATAACACACATATATAGTATCTTAAAGGATTAATGAAGGAGAAATAATAGCACAGTATTTCTCCTGTGAAATGTGATTATATTTTGTTCAGTAAAATACTAATAGTTTTTCAATAGTTAGTAATAGTCATTTGCTAATTTATTTTCCTTAACAAGAACTCATTTCTCATGAGTGAACTATGCTACAGCCTCACGCCATAAAAGTGAGTTAACAGAATTATTATTTTAACAAGTAATATTTTGACCATTTGGATGTCAAAACAGATCCACCTCCAGCCAATAAGCTAAGTAAGTGTGACCCTTCATCCTTGCTGACATACACAAACAGCCTCTCATCAGAGATAGGAGAATCCTTTCTTTTCTTTTTAAAGGTATTGTCTGTTTGGGCAGGTGGTCTCCCACACACAATCCTCAGAGCAACACATTCAGCATCGCTGGAATTAGTGAGATGTGTAAATACTCTGCAGCTTGGAAGGAGAAACACAAGTCTGGGACCTTCCAGGTGATTCTGGATGATGCACACCAGAAGCTGAGAACCACTGGTCTAAGGCAGTAGGAGACACATTTAGTTCCTATTTTGAAAGTTAGAATTTATCTCCACTCCATAAGACAACACACAGAATCCCTGCAGGCAGAGATAACCCACGGCAAAGGCATTTTCCTTAGGTCACTTCCAGCCAGGAGGCCTTTTTTGTTTTTATTTTATTATTTTTTTAAAAATTATACTCACCTCCGTGGCTGTGGTTTCCCCATCAGCTGCGGTATCAGTCTGCTCGCTGTCAGTCTGTGGATCACATAATCAGGATCCAGAAGGAAGCAGAGACAGAAAATAAACCCATCTGGTCAAACAGGGCACACACAGGCAGAGATGTTCATGCGCCCTCTCTGGGGTCTGTGGCCATACTACTTTCCCACAGAAATGCAGGTTCAAGCAAAGCAAAGGAAGAGCCAGAGCTAGGGGTCATCAGCAGAGCCCCTCCAAGGAAGACCCGAGGCACACACTGCCTGCAGGAGCTGCAGGGCCTGACTCACGGCCCGGGGCCACCCTGACCTGTCTGCCTCACCATCTCAGGAAACCCAATTTGTCATTCTCCTCCCACCCTGTTCACTGACATCCCAACAAAGCTCTCCTCAAAATGCTTCATGAAATAAAATTGAGGTGTACACGTATTATTTATTCTTGTCATATGTCATATTTGAAAGATAAAGGAAAATGTAAATTGACATAAGAAGCTACTGTAACAGTCACTGGACTTTCAGCCCCTCATTTATACCACTGGATAATTTACATCTATCAATGACGACCAGGCCGTCTGCATTACCTCCTGATAACCAAAAACACATGCCAGTGACTCACAGGCAAATATTTTATGGAGAAAAATGTACCTCAGCTTCCAAATAGTCCTGCTAATAGACTGTTTTAGCATCCACCCTCCAATATAACAGGTATATCTCATGATAGAAATACCATTCAAATGATGCAAATAATAGTCAAGAGAAAGAGAAAGAGAGAGAATGAGAGAGACATCTATTTAAAACAAATAAAACAAAGCACAGCATTTAATAGAGCCTAGATTTCCAATAGCAATCTCAGAGGTGGTTTTTAATCTATTTCAAAGAGGTTTATGACTGAAAATGTTCTTGAAAAGAGTATAGCCATGGACAGGATACTGGAGTATTGTCTAACTGCTCTATCCATAACTAATTTTCCCTCTACATGTTAATCATTGGAAAAATCCATTCATCAAAGGGTGTGTGTGTGTGTGTGTGTGTGTGTGTGTGTGTGTGTGTGTGTGTGTGTGTGTGTGTGTGTGTGTGTGTGTGTGTGTGTGTGTTTTGGGTGCTTAAAGTCAGAACCTTAAAGTCAGTCCCTTAACTTTTTCTGTTCAAGGCTGGTGCTCTACCATTTGAGGATCCACTTCTAGCTTTTTTTGTTTTTACATGTTAACTGGAAATAAGAGTCTCATGGATTTTCCTATCTGGGCTAGCTTTGAATCCTCAGATCTCAGCCTTCTAAGTAGCTAGCATGATAGATGTGAGACACCAGTGCCCAGCTGAGACATGACATTTTGAAAACAAAAACCAGAGCTGAGTCTTCTATGGCTGTAGATCTGTCTGATAAAAATTTCTCACTCCAAAGGACAAGGACAAAAAGTGACAACTAGGAGAGTCCTGTGTCTGTCAATGTAACTGGCCAAGCTGGTTTCTTCCACTTTATGCATTTCTAAACTAAAAGGGCTTCTAAACTAGAATGCATGATTAGAATGTGTATCTGAGGGTCGTACCTTGCGATCAAGCCAAGATGTAAACAATTTTCAGTAGATTGTAAAGAAAATGTAACTAACCACCTAAGTTTTCTTACAAGTGTAATCCCTACTATAATATTAGCATGGCTTCCAAAACTGATAGAAAGATCAATTTCAACTAGTAAGAAAGAGATAGGCTACTGTTCAAGTGTATAGAATATACTAAGATCTTTTAAGCTTTCAAGAAAAACCAAGAAGCTAGGCACCAGTGGCTCATGTCTCTAATCCTAACTACTCAGAAGGCTAAGATCTGAGGATCATGGTTCAAAGCCAGGCTGGGCAGAAAAGTTCCTGCAAGACTCTTATCTCCAATAAATTACTCAAAAAAGCGAGAAATGGTGCTGTGGCTCAAGTGATAGAGAGCTAGCCTTGACCACAGCGAGGCTCAGGGACAGCGGCCAGGCTCTGAGTTCAAGCCCCAGGACTGGCAAAAAAGAAAAACTAAGAAAGATATATGCTTCTTGACCTAATTAGTTGTGTCAAATAGGCCCAAAGGTCTGAAGGTATTTTTTCTCCTCTTTGGATTATTTTCTATGGTTTTAAACTTTATTTAATTATCATTCCAACATCTTTTCATTAGAGTTGAGCTGAAGATAAGAGTGAGGGCATCTGATATCAGACTAACATACCCTCAAATACTTGTTGTTCAAGCCTGTGATAATTAGGCCTATTTTATATCTTAATCCATAATTTAATTAATTCCTTAATCAATTAATTCTTCTTGGAAACTGAGGAAGATAATTGCACTAACCATATTGGATAATGGACCAAGTACTTTATATATTGTCTGATGCTAGCAATGAGAGTTGCCCATAATAATCATAATATATTGTTATCAATATATTGCATAATTATTACTAATTTTCCTAGATGTACACTATCACACTATCTTTGCCATATTTGCACTTCCAAGTAAAGGTAGTGTAGCACACATCTGCTGTCCTGGCTACTTGGAATATGGAGGCAGGAGAATTTAGAGTGCAAAGCCATCCAAGCAATATCGTGAGCCCCCCATATAAAAAACATCCCCCTAAAACAAAGAATCAAATCATCTGTAGACTCTCAAATTCCTACTTATCATATAGTCAGTCAACAAGCATAGTGCCTGATCAATAAGCAATCAATAAATGAAGTCATGGAAACTGAATAAAGCAGCATTTACAGCAAATATTATATGTATAGTGTACTACAACTACAAAAAATTGCAAAATGTATGGCATGTCAAAACTACCACACAAATTATCTTTACACAACTTGAATTGTTTATAAATCAATTCTTCCAATCTCTCTTTTTACTTAGTATTATCAACAAATGACTTAGAAATTAATATGTAATGACATTCTATGTTACAAGTTAGCTAAATTCTTCTGTATATTGGAAGATGCTGAGGTATTCTTTCTCATTCTGCAAAAATAAGATTGGTTGGCTATCCTATAGCTTGAGATGGCTAGGATTTTCTATACTGAGGGGGTTTGCTTGAGAAAGACAAACTGATTAATTTGCTACTACAGATGAGAAATGTGAAAAGAATTACTACCATTTGTGCTTTTGTAAAACACAAGTGACAGAGATGAACTGTATGTTAACAAGTTAGCTAGCTCAGCAGCCAAAGTGCTGGAGGTCCACAGAATAAAATAGGCCATGTAAGCAAATGGCAATTCGTAAAAGTACAATGACCTAAATATGATTTCTTTAGTTCATGTGGACCTTGGAATATGAAGGTCTTAACACCTGAGGTACAGAATCTACATGGAACAGATGGCCAAATATACCTGGTGTTGTATTTGACAGGAAAGCTGTCACAGGCTAACTGAGGCTAGAAAAGAGAGAGAAGAGTACAGTGGTCAGTGCTAATTCAGAGTCAGAGCTGTGTGTATTACAAGGATAGCTTGGACTGAGTTGTTGCCACCCCTCAGTCACTAGCTTGCAACAGTGGGTGCTGTGATTTGTTTTGCTGATGTAATGCAGACATGCCCAAGTTTCACATTAATTCTCATGCACGGGTTACAAGATGTATTCCCTGGATTAGGCACAAGATCTGTGTGGCAGGCTATACAGAAGTTCAAGCAGTTAGTGAGAATTTAGAAATCTTCTTTTCTCCAGCTTATGTTAGTAGGAGGACTCATTGCTCTGTTAATGGGGAAAAAATGTATCTCCATGTTAGAAATCCACTTTATTGACACTCTGCTATTCTTAATTGGAGTGGGTGCTAGTTTTATACTATTAAATAATACTGTACTGTGAGAAATGTTGATATACAAGCCTTGGATTTAAAGAGGTTTTCAAAATATGTTCCAGATATAAGAATAGTTACCTATTTGTATGTACATATGTACATATGAAAAAAACTCTTATGCAATAACAAATGGAAAAGCCAAGACTTTAGAGCACCTTTGAGATCATTTATATATTTTTTTCTCTTTTGCTTCACACAGCAATGTCATGATACCACTAAATACAGGTCCTGAAACACCTTAGCAGCTCTGTGTATTCCCAGGGGCTGCTCAAGTTAGGTCTTCTAGGGGTGTGCAGAACTGAATAGACTCTTTTTTTTAGTGTTGCTTTGACTTGGTGACTTCTCTCTCTTTTTTTTTTTTTTTCGGGTCCAGTCGTGGGGCCTGAACTCTGGGCCTGGGCGCTGTCCCTCAGCTCTTCAGCTCAAGGCTAGCGCTCTACCACTTGAGCCACAGCGCCACTTCCGGCTTTTTTCTTTTTCTTATGTGGTGCTGAGGAATCGAACCCAGGGCCTCATGCATGCAAGGCAAGCGCTCTACCACTGAGCCACCTTCCCAGCCCCGACTTCTCTTTTTTTAATGCTAAGAATTGCTTGTCTTGTCTCCTGCCACAAAAGCTCTTGCTTGGTGGATATAGGAGAGCTGGAGCGGGCTGGAGAGGGGCAGGAGAGTGAGGCCATGACAGCCAGGGGCTCTGCGGGCAGCTTCTATTCCTTTCCCTGTGCTTAGTTTGAAGTCAAGCGGTTGTACTGTTCACAGGGCCTTAGAGAAAGGGGAGAACTTAAGAGCAAAAGTTGCTGGCTACGTTATCGCATCCATTTGTTGGATAAGAGGGATAAGAAACTGGCAGGCTGAAAGCTCTGGTTCTTTCTCAACTATATGCACACCTGACTAAGTGCCACTTTCCAAGACTTCACCACCCAGTCCAGATGTGGGGAGTATCTGCCTTATGCTAGATTTGAAGAATTGCTGCTGTCTGACAATTTGCACCAGTGAGACTTGTTTTAATAACACAGAGAAACCATAAATAAACCTTTTTTCCTGATTACATTGAGACATTACTGTCCCGCATATGGTTCTTTCTAGTCTTGTTCTAGCTAAACTTCGATAGGCTTCTTTCTTTTAATTTTAATTTTTTGGGTCCAGTTGTGGGCCTGAACTCTGGGCCTGGGCATTGTTCCTCAGCTCTTCAGCTCAAGGCTACCACTCTACCACTTGAGCCACAGTGCCGCTTCCAGCTTTTTTTCCCCCTCCTGCTTATGTGCTGCTGAGGAATCGAACCCAGGGCCTCATGCATGCAAGGCAAGCACTCTACCACTGAGCCACCTTCCCAGCCCTTGATAGGCTTCTTTCTGACCCAATGCACAGTGGAATAGGATCCATCTTAGAGTAACAAGGACAAGAACTATCAAAGATGGCTGAAGAGGCATTTCAGAATTTCCCAGGTGATGGTGTCTCTTTGGATGGTACTCTCTCCTGTCTCCTTGATCTCATTTAACATGAAAGCTACTTGCTACTTAGCTGTCCTACATGTGGTTTACTTTATTAGGAAGGAACTGAACAGAATCTCTAAGTGAGCCCTGGTCTTTTACGCAGCAAATAGGTTATTTGAAATCCATTTCTGGTTGGATTCTTCAGCCCATTTAGAACTCAACGGGCAGCAGAATAACTTTGAGTTGGCCGGACTTCTACGTCCACATGGTGTTGTGCCTAACCCTGGGACCCCACCCCTCCCGGCTTGAACCCCCTTCCCCAACACACAAAACCTTAACATATTGGCACAAACAATAAATGAGGCTCTGAAAGTCAGACCACTATGGCAGCAGCCGGCTAACACTGTTTCGGACTGAAGCACGGAACACGCAGGGGAAGTGTGTTCTATGCCGAGGTACACACCTCTTCCTCTGAACTGTCACTCGGGTCATTGTCTAGGGAGGCGCTCAAGGAGGCCGCCTTGGGCTCCAGGTAGCAGAGGCACAGAGCCAGAGGGAAGGAGAGAGTGAGGGCGTATGGCACTGAGAAGGAGGCGGAGAGCAGGAAGAAGAAGATGAAGAGGAAACAGGGTACCAGGGATGGGGAGCGGATGGGGAGGTAATTTTGCAAGCTCTGGGGTAGGAGGTTGCTTTCAGACAGGTTGGGGAAAGACAGGTATCCGTCCTCATCTAGGAGCGAGGGGAAAGAGTCAGGGAGCTGCAAGGAGAAGGAAAACAAGGTGGTTCCCTTGCCAGTCTGCTGTCTGTAGCTAAATGCTACATCTTGATCCCCTATGTAAGCCTTCCCTTGGCTATCCTTATCCAAGGCAGGCTCTCCAGGCAAATGCTCGGCTAGCAGCAGCTCGGAACCTGGTGGTTTGCGTTCATTCTCCTTACATCTCCTACGGAGCTCTGTGGGAGATGTAGGGTCAAAATGGGCAGATGAGGGTGACAAGGGACATGAGTCAGTGCCATGCCTAGGTGACTGATATGAAGAGAGACAGAGAGAGAAAGAGAGAGAGAGACAGGAAGCAGCAAACAGAGATGCAAAGGGACAAAAAGAAAACTGCAATTAGTTACTTTTCTTAGAAAATTGTCAAACAAGAGTTTTAGCGCTAGGTTTGCTTGTGAATTTTAAAGTAGTCAAGCTGCATGCCAACATTGTCACAGATGGCTACAGAAATCCCAGGAGACCATCATCATTCCCACCATGGGGTGGGAATTTCACGTCAGAGTCAGAGCAGAAGGTATGTGTGGACAACCCTCACATCGTATACATTTCCCATGGTCAAAAAAATTCATTTTAGACTGAGATCCTGAGAAAGTGCTTGGGTTTTGAGAGCAAACATAAATCTCTGCTAAACCAAAATCAAGACTTTCAATAACCTTCTCTTGTCTCCAGATAATAGATTGATCTATTTTTTTCTTTACTTTCCCTTTTTTTTTCTTTTGTGGGTATGTGCCAGTATTATGGCTTGAATTTAGCTTTTTTCTGCTCAAGACTGGCACTCTACCACTTGAACCATAGCTCCACTTCCAGTTTTCTGCTGCTTAATTGGAGATAAGAGTCTCAGAGACTTTCTTAGCCTCCTGAGTAGCTAGGATTACAGGCATGCAGCACATAGTTTAGCTGGATTAAAATTAAATCCAATTAAAATTTTGATTATTTAAACAAATGTTGCCTTCTTGGGACATGACATTCCCAAACAGCTAGATTTCCCAATCAAGAAGTTTCTGGCCCCACTCCTATATGCTGAGTAGTTACAATGGGGATATTTAACAATTAGTATTTCAGGAACTCTGACTCCTCCCCAAAAGGACTGAGGTTCATTTTGAAAACTCTTCTCTTTTGGCTCCTTTATCAAGGATATAAGTGGAACTTCAACTCAGGTAAGTGGTTTCAACAAGCTCAATGTCAAAAAGAATGTGTTTTCTTGTAATATGGTTTCTGTGTGTTCAGTTTCTATTATTTGTGGCCCCTAAATAATAGAAAAGACAATCCTTCAGCTTTGTGATTACTCTTAACAGATAAAGGCATGTTTATACCTTTGGTTTGTGTCCTTAATACAAAGATAAAGCAAGCAGTTGCACAAAAGTGCTCCCTAGTGAGTGCCAACCTTCATGGGACAAGGAAATCTAATTCTATTCTGTAGAGCCGTCGCAGTCCCAAATTCAGTTTCCTCTTTAGGTGGTAGAGGGGCTGCTGGACAAGAACAGGAGGAAAGGAAGCAAGCAAACCCCAAGCGGGCCCTGGGCAGAACAGAGGAGCTGTTAATAGCTTGGCACAGAGAGCCTGGAGATAATTTGCTAGTGCTGGTGCTGCTGGTGTGTGCGTGCATGCATGCAAGTGTTCATGTCTGTATGTGTGGTTTGCCTAGCAACCTAACAGCATGGAACCATCCTGCTGCCTGACCCATGCAGAAGTGGTAAAATATAGCAACAGAAGGAAAGAAAAGCAAAAATAAAATGTATCTTGTGTATAGGAGCATTAGAAGTGTCTCTTTCGACTATGAGACAGATATACCTGTTCCCAAACTCTCACATTTGGCATTGAACAGGAACCTGCACAAATCTCATTTGACTGGGAAGAAACATTTAAGAATCCTTCTGTGTGAACCCAGGGAGGTGATGTCCTAAAGCTGGCTGCATCAGTAGCTGGAGAAATATGTCTTCTTTTCAAACAACCTGGGGGACCAATCTTCTAAGTAGTAAGCTTAGTAATACCTTTTCATTTGGTTAAAAAATAAGTACCCCTTCTCTGTTACTTTTTGAAAATGGAAAAGAATAAAATTATGGTTTAATCTTCCATGCTGCTTATTAAACTACTTTCTAAAAGATAGCTTTGCACTGGGGGTTGGGGAGGAGGAAGGCAACCAGTGCCTATTAAGCACTCAAGTTCAGCTCCAGCCTTGAAGGTGCCTCCCTCTACTAAGTACTGACTTCTCAGAGACTCAGACTAGAAAAGGAGTCATTTTCTTTGTCTTTTAACTTACCCATCACATCACGGGCATAACGTGAGGATAGCTGAGGGCTACATTTAAAGACTCCCCTGGTGGTCTTTAAAAAATCAAATTAAAGGAGAGGTTACTTGGACCTACTCTGGGAGTAAACTAAAAATCATTTACTTCTGTATGCCTCGGATTTACACATTCATGAAAATCATTTGTTGATGCAAGCGATTTCGCAACAATCAAGTATAAGAACCACACAGTCAGCTTTCAGGTCTGTGACCTTCGTTTCCTGTCCCAGCTAAGATCTGCCCTTGAAGTAAGTGACAGGAAGAGTGTAAGAGCAAATTTTAGAATTAAACACATTTTACATTGAATAGTCTTGCTATAGTTTCTACTCTGGGTGTCTTTTTGTGTTTGTCAAATAAAAGATCTTGTCCTCAAAAAACAAAATTAGGAAGATGATGGATTGAGTCATTTGGAATATTCTAACATGCTACCGAAATTCTTTTTTTTTTTTTTTTCTGTTATTTCTGGGCATCCAATCTAGGCTCTTTTATATTCTAAGCAAGTGCTCTACCACTGAGTCATAACCTTAGTTCTGGAAATGGTTTGTTTGTTGATCTACCTGATTAAGATGTCTATCAAGTTTTTCTATAGGGCCGATGTGGTGATTCTATCTCACATTCATCGACATTACAAGAGCCCACATTTGAAAGAGCACTTGTAAACAGAATGTTCTCATGTTTCAGGGTAACAGGCATCTTTATTCTCTGACATATGTCTCTCTCTGTACCCTGTACATGCCAGAGGCCACTCTTCTTATCCATTGCTATTATATATAAATCTTCCAATGTGTTGAATTTTAAGTTATTTTGCTAAAAAAGTTGCTTTACAGTACTAGATCACCACAAATAAACCTGACATTCAAAAACAATGTTTAAAAGGAAATTTCACTGGGAGGGAGGTGATGTCACGAAAGGGAATGAATAGAACACCCAGAGGAATTGCTACTAATTTCACGTTTTGTCTCCCACTGCAACTTGATGCCTTAGGATCCCTTTTTAAAAACAAGGCCTCTCATTCCTGTCCTGACCGGTTTGTAACTAGAAGACTAGTGATTACTGTGGATTTTAAAAAAAAATCACACTACCCTTGGGTAGGAGAATGGGGCCAGAAACAAAGAAAGCAGCTTTCCTACTGGTTGTGAAATGTGAACCCAAACAGAAACATGGATTATACTACCAAAAACATTTTTTTAAGGGAGACTTAAAGGACAGCTGTTGAAAGTCTTATATATAGCACATTCCTCGCTAAAGTAAAAAAAAAACTTCCAGAAGTTAAGAAAGTGATTCTTAGAAGAAAAATGTTAAAACAGGAATATTAATTAGGAAGTAGACACAGATATGACTAGTGCTGAAATATGAGCACCCCTCCATCTTAACCTATTCTGGGTTTATATCCTGAGAATGATCTAGCCTGCTGAGAAGCTGAGGTGCTCTGAGAGGCAGTCTGGGAGTTGTACCTTTCCCTCATGCCGGACCGCCACCACTGGCGTGGCTTCCTCGGCCTTTCTCCGTCTGTCCTCTTCCTCGTCGCGTTCCTCCTCAGCCTTTTTCTCAGGGGTCACAGTGGTGATCAAGTTGGTCTGAGAGATGCCCTTTGTTGTGGCGTACTGGCCAGTACCAACCTCTGCAGCAGACATAGAATCCTTCATGTATATTTCATGGTTTTCATTCACTGATGCTAAAAGCAAATACAATTGGAGAAATAAAATCTGAAATAGTTAAATCGGAAGACATATCAACATCATCATATTCTCTTATTACTGGTGAAAAACATACCACTACAAAATACCATGCTTGCCTTGAAAAGATCAATCAGTTCTGTAGGAACCATTACCCAGGGACTACAGTAGCCTCCTCTTTCTCTATCACCTAAACTAGTGTCTTAAAATTATTTAAATGCTCATGTCTTGAAGTCCAGAAGAATCCTACCCATTCTAAGGATCTCTGGGGCAAGAGTGTATATGAGGACAGAGGTGGGTAGAAGAAAGAAACTCTGGTAGGGTACACTCACCAGATACTCAGTGGCAAGCTCAATGACTCACAGTGACATTTCCAGTAGGCAACTTACTCCATTACATCTGCCTTTGAACATGTCTCTTTGGAAGTGCCATTTACTAAGGAGCATTGATGTAGTTCTATTATTATCTAACACGGATAAGTCTGTCACTTCTAATATAAAAGACTCAAGGGTCATCATGAAAATTAACCATCATGGCAGAGATTATAAAATTCAGATGGTAATTCTTCCCAACTTTAGTAAGGAGATGTTTTCATTTCTACACAGACTGCCATGATGGTATGCATATACATTCATTCACATCTCTAACATTTTGAAAAAATAAGACAAATGGTGCTAAATGAAATCCATGCAAATGTAAAGCATGCAAACACATCCCAGCCAAAATGTCTTAGTGAAAGAGTTCCTTAATTAAAATTTAAAATTTGCTACTCCTAATTTTAGGCTTTAGATATCATAAAAATATTGAAACCTATGAACACCGCTTTTCAAATATACAGTAGCTGATCACAGCCAAAATATAATCTGCGTTCCTATTTTCAGATCTGTAAAATACAAATGAAGACTGGAAAATAAATCTTTTTTTCTGAAAACTTAATACCTGAAGCTCTTAAATATTTTCACTAAGATATTTTATGTTGCTTCATACTGATGAAAACGCTCCATGAGACAGTGTCTTAATGAACCAGTTATTCTGTTGGGTATAAGATGCCATCTTGCATAAAAGCATTTCATGTTCCAACATGCAGCCATAGCACACAGCTCAGCAGGAGCAGAAAACATACTAGATTTGGCAGGACTGAAAAGAGTGAGACAAGACATACTAACATCACTTTTGGGCAAGGAGGAAGAGACAGCAGGGTATTAGTACATTGACTTCACAATTGTCTTCTGTCTTCTCAAATGTCATTATCACACAAAAGGTCATGAGGAAAACAATATGCACAACAAACATGTTCCCCTGGGTGCACATCACTGAACCAAGTGGATGGATTCAAGAAAACAACATGTGATTTTATGAAAGGTCCTTAAATACTGACTTAGAGGATATATAATAGCTAGAAGAGTGATGGGACAGAGCAGAAAGAAAAGCTTCAGTATTTACAAGGACATTTCAAAGTCTTAATTCAACTCAAAACAATCCTAATAAATATATTATTCCTAAGGCTTGGCTGTAAGTACAGCATCCAGAAATCTGAGAAGACACTGAATAGTCGACTTCCCTTGGTATTCATATGGGATCATTTTCACCAACCCCTTGCCTGCTCAAATCCAAACATGTGTGGTGTTTGTCCCTTATATAAGATAGTATGGTGTTTACACAGAAAGCAGCACATCCTATTGGATACACTAGGTAACTTATATCATCTCTAGATGACTTGTCATGACTAATGCAATGTGAATAGTGACAAATCCTTTGTGAATAGTTGTCACACTGTCTTGTTTGGGCGTTAATCATAAGAAAAAAAACTTGTATATGTTCAGTAGAATTTTCTTAAGTAGTATTTTCTTTTCTTTTCTTTTTTTTTTTTTTTTGCTTATGTGGTGCTGAGGAATCGAACCCAGGGCCTCAGGCATGCAAGGCAAGCGTGCTACCACTGAGCCACCTTCCCAGCCCCTAAGTAGTATTTTCAACTCAAAGTTGGCAGACTGTGAATTCAAAAAGCTAATTGTAATGAATGTCTAAGGCTAGCTTACAAAAGTCTAGGAGAATAATTATTCAGCTAGTTATAAGTATAGCTATACTTTAACCGCTTCCATATATGCGTTCTATAGCGTTCACAGCAACACTGTTGACAATGTCCTTACTCTCATTTCTCAGATGATTAAAACCAAGATGTAAAGAGTTGAAATTATTTTCCAGCCATCACCCAGACAGAGGGTAATAGAGTATAATTTTCAGTCTGTATTTATCTATGCATGTAATGGTTTCTATTCCAATAGCAATACAAATAACATGACACTCATAATACACTTGGGATTTTCTTCCATAACTATAAAGTATTTGTTTAGGAAGTAGTCTGTTTCAGCAAAGAATAAAATATCTGAGCCCACCAGTCACTCTGGGCTGTGGAGAGAGGGGCGGGGGACCTGAGATACTTTGGGATACAGATGCAAACAGAAGAGAGGAAGGAGAAGGTCCCAGGCATTTGTAATTGTATTCCTATTTATATTTATTTGTTAAAATTATACACACATGTCAAAAATTTCTAGCTCTTTTTGTTTTCATAGGCTGGGCCTTGAGTAAACAACTAATCACCAGCTGCTTTGAATTAGAAGGCAGAGGCCTGCCTGTGACTCAGGTTCCAAATATCATTATCACTGGCACGCCTTGAAACAGGAGCACACCTCAAGCAACCCACAACTGTGAAACAAAACAGTTCTACTAAAAAACCCGCAATCGTGTTATCCCCTACAGAAGTCACCTAAGTGACTAGGGCCCTGTCTCACACATTGAACTAAGCAGTAGAGAATATTCACATGGCAATGTTATCTTGGCCTACAGGGGTTTTCCTTTCTCCCAGTTTTCCCCAGTGAATGGATTAAGGCCATATTTTACTTCTACAATATGTTAGTAAGAGACAAATTTAACTGATACTTTTCTTTGTGAAACAAGTAGCCCAAGACAAACCTGCTAACCATGTAATGGTGGCTGGCTAGAGAAACAAATTACTTGAGAATATATGACTTCAGTATTTAAAATGAGAATATCTTTCTATAAATTCAGGGATCTGGTTTATAAAAGCTATGCTTTCCATTCCCTTAGTACCTAAGTTGATATAATATTATGTAACTCTACCATAAAAGGTCATTTTTTGAGTTGAAGACCTTAAAAATATCTGCTATCCAGCCCATATCCACATTGCTTTTCATTTACAATATCCAAGATGATGTATGGTTTAGGAGAGCCCTCCTGGCTTCAGATGCCTTTCTGAGTAGTGATTTAAGAGGCAGTTTTTGATGCTTACCTCCATCTAAGCTGCGAGACATGGTGTACCGTTTGCTGGACGAGCGTTCGAAGTAAGGCGCTGGGCGATCAATCAACGCGCTGGCTCTTCTCGTTTGGGCCTGTGTTCTGCCACTGTAACGGAACTTGGAACCCAAGGTTAGGAATTTCTTTGGAGGTGCTTCTGGCAACAATAGTCTAAAGATATTAAAGAAAAAAATACCAGGACAATTAATTCAATTTTGGAATACTTTTTCAACTGTTTTTCCCCCCACTTCCTTTCCTTTTTATTTTGCTTTCTCTTCTTCCTTCCTTCTTTCCTTCCTTCCTTCCTTCCTTCCTTCCTTCCTTCCTTCCTTCCTTCCTTCCTTCCTTCCTTCCTTCCTTCCTTCCTTCCTTCCTTCCTTCCTTCCTTCCTTTCTCTTTTCTTTCTTTCATTGTGCTGTGCTTTGTGTGCTAAAGGTATAATACACAACCATTTCAGAATAAAGAAAACCATCCAGGATTGGATGGGGGGGGGGGGGAGGCTGGGAAGGGATGGGAAGGGGAAACAAAGGAGGAGGCTGCAATGCTTGATAAGAAATGTACTCATTATCTTGCCCATGTAATTGTAACCCCTCTGTACAGTATGTTCACAAAAAATAAAAAAAATATACCTTTAAAAAAAAAGAAAACCATCCATTCACAGTATTTATTAACTAGAGATGTTGTTGAGACAATATAAGCAAAACAGGATTTAGGGGATGAGATGAGCTTTAATAATCCATATAAGGAAATTAATACCCAAACGTCATCTTTATGAGTGAGGAAGAAGAGAGATAATTTGTTTTTATTGTATTTGCCAATACTAGGGCTTAAACTCAGGGCTTTGCACTTACTAAGTATGGTCACTCATACCTGGTGCCCTACTACTTGAACAATGCTTCCAGTCTGGCTTTTTGCTGGTTAATTGGAGATGGTCTCTCCAACTTTTTTTTTTTGCCAGTGCTGGCTGACTTCAAATTGAAATCCTTCAGGCCTCAGCCTATTGAATAGCTAGGAGTATAAGCTTGAGCCACTAGTGCCCAGCAAATTATGTTTTTTAGGCTTCAGTCTAATTGTTCTAGACTATTCATGATTAAAGGAGTTCAGAGTATTAAGAAATAATTAAAATAAACCTAGTGTCAGTGGCTCATGCTTGTATTCCTAGCTACTTAGGAGGCTGAGACCAGGAGGATCTCAGTTTGAAGACAGCCCAGAGTAGGAAAATCCATGAGAATCCTTTTCCAGTCAACTAGCAAAAATCCAGACTACAGATACAGTTCAAGTGGTAGAGCTCCAAGTCACTTGCAAGAGAGCTGAATGAGAGCCCTGAATTTAAGACATAGTATTACCAGCACAGGAGGAAAAAACGAAAAAGAAAAATAACAGGAAAAAAATATAATTGGAATAGTAAGGAATGGGCAGAGGATTCAGCATAGTAATAGACTGCCTGGCCTAGCATGCTCAAGGCTCTGGCTTTAATCTCCAGCACAACCAAACCACTAGAAAACCCCACAAAAAGCTAAAATCCAGCAAGAAATGGACTAGATATTCTACAAACAATGAATAACAATAGAGACAAGGGTGAGAGAGGCTAAGACAAAGAAGATCCTTCATAGCTAACCAGAAGTTCTTATCAAGAACTTTGTGCCAGGCACTGGGGGCTCATGCCTGTAATCCTAGCTACTCAGGAGTCTGAGAATTGAGGATTGTGGTTCAAAACCAGCCCAGGCTGGAAGAGACCCTTATCTCCAATTAGCCACCAAAAAACCAGAAGTGACATGACACTGTGGGTCAATGTGGTAGAGCACTAGCGTTGAGCAAAAAAGCTGAGGGACAGAGCCCAGGCCCTAAGTTCAAGCCCATGGCCGACCAAAAAACAAAACTAAAAAACCCCCAAAACAAAACAAAACTTTGTGAGAATGAAATTAAGAAATGAGAGAGGGTATGTCTCCATATTTTTCCTAATGACCTTTATCAGAGTAAGTGATTCCAGTCATTTCAATTACTTGTCAGGAAAAATCCCAAATGATCTCTACTTACCTGAAAAATGTATGATGTTCAACACACACTTTCCACAAACGCTTGGCAGCTCGATGATTTGGCAGCTTAAATCCAATGGTACTTTCAAATTGTTCAAACTAAAACAATAACAAAAACCATATTGCAGAATAAAGTCAACTGCAATTAAAATAACAGAAGCTCTGCAGTTTGCAGGCTCATAATGCCACCCACAAGTGTTTTCTTTTTTTCTTTTTTATTGTGAAAATACCATACAGAGGGGTTACAATTACATGGGCAAGGTAATGAGTACATTTCTTATCAAGCATTGTTGCCTCCTCCTTTGTTTCTCCTTCCCATCCCTTCCCATCCCCCCAGCCCCCCCCCCCCCCGCTTCCCCCTCCCCACCTCGTGTCCCTCCCTCCCCAGCCAAAGTTGTAAAGTTCATTTTTCTACGTAACATCTTGTACATCTCATTGTTGCAATAGGGATATACCTGTATCCCTATTTCAACAATTTGTTTTTTTCCCTTCCCCTCCACAAAGTATACAAACATCAAATATATTGAAAGCAGGGGTTATATCGTGGGGGAGGGACATACAAAGCAACAAAAAAAAATCATCTTATAAACCACAAGTGTTTTCTTTGTTCTCTAAATGGATATGTACAGAATTCATTAATACAGTCATTAAAAATACCTTATAATATCTATCATTTGAAAACACTGCAGATATAGACAACCTTGTTATACATGTAGTAGATGTTTCTGCACAATTATGAATGTATGAAAACTAGTGACAAGAAATGAAGGAATTTTAATTGACTCCAGAGATCAATTCATCCTGACCTCCTCTTCAAAATCCTATTTTCATCGTTTCTCAATAACATAACAACATTAGGTAGAATGCCCAGAAACGAACAAAGCATTTATAAATATAGCCTGTAGCACACTTGGAAATGACATTTTTTCCTGGTATCTGCCAAGGGAATCTACACATTTCCTTGGAATTTGATAACTTGGTATTTACTGATTTCACTTGTGTGCTCAAGGATGGGTTATATGCTAATTGTTAAAATCTCTCTATATTATACATAAGATCAGAGATTGGGAAGACATTTTTTATATCTTTCACTGTGCCTATTTTCAGATGCTACTCTGTCAGTCATTTGAGGTTTTAAGATTTAAAAAAACGAGATATGATTTTCTGCATAACTTATTTTATTATTATTGTGGATACATAGGAAGTTTTCAGTTTCTGAAGCCAGCACACATCAGGCCACCAGAGGGCAACCACCTTAAAGATACGGTTTATTACAAACAAAGCAGACTATTGATATAATCAATAGCAAAAGTAATTTATGGGGCAAAGCTGCAAAGTGAGGGGTCCCATGCATGGCATGTGAGGTACAATCACTCTTGACCTCTATTTCTTGTTTGTTGAAGATGACTGGGGGAATTGGGAAATATATCATAATGTGCTCCAACTGCAGTAATTGCCTTTCCCAATTTCTTATTCACGATGGACATTCATGTGCAATGGTGGTTATAAAAATTGCTACTCTCTAAAGGTCCTAGTCAAGCCAGATAGACTGTGGCTCCTTGATTAAACCATCACTCATTTATTCAGCAGGTAACTAATACACGATGCTAAGGCAAAGAGAGCTAACACACTATTTGCTACAAGATACTAGGCAGAGTTTTTTCCTTCCTTTCTTCCTTCCTTCCTTCCTTCCTTCCTTCCTTCCTTCCTTCCTTCCTTCCTTCCTTCCTTCCTTCCTTCCTTCCTTCCTTCCTCCCTCCCTTCCCTCCCTTCCTTCCTTCCTCCCTCCCTTCCCTCCCTTCCTTCTTTCTTTCCTTCCATCCCCTCCCTCCCTCCCCTTTCCCTCCTTCATTCCTTCCCCTCCCTCCCTCCCTCCCTTTCCTCCCCCTCCCTCCTTTCCTCCTTCACTCCTTTTCTCCCTCTCTCCCTCCATTCCTTCCTTTTTCTTTGCGCCAGGACTGGAGATTTGCTCTGGCACTCAACCACTTGAGCCACAGATCTACTTTTGACTTTTTCATGATTCACTGGATGTAAGTCTCACAGATTTTTCTCCCCAGGCTGACTTGTAGGTAGCTCAGACCACAGACTCTCAGACCATTGCCTCCTAAGTAATTAGGGTTACAAGAATCTCTCTTTGAAAAGTTTTTCCAAACATTTTATTCACAGAATATGTATTTTCTGAGGTCCAGTGTGATCTTTCAAAACATACATACAATGTACAATAATCAAATCAGAGTAACCATCATATCCCACATGTCAAATTTTATCATTTATTTTTGATGGGAACACTCTGAATCCTCTCTAAGTGTTTTGAAATATATGACTAATTGCCACCAACCATAATTAACCCACTGAGCCACAGAACACTGAAGGTAAATACACTCATCCAAGCATACCCCTGTATACAGCAATCATCTTCTCTGTCTTTCTCCCCTTCCCAGCCACTGGCAATCGCCACTCTACTCTTCAGGTCTATGAGGTCAGCTTGGCCATTGGGAATGCCTTCTTACTGCTTCCTTCTGTAGCACAGTATGAGAGGCCCCTTGGCTTCCTGAGTGTTCTATCACTTTGCTTCGTATCTGATTGCTCCAATTTCTTCAGAGCCTGTGTGCCATCAATAATGCTCCACTTACAAATATGATCATAAAAGGAGGGAGGGCCATCTTTCTTTGAATCCTCCACAACCAAAACTCCACCTTGCTCCTCATTTATGAAACTTCATGAAAGAGAAGCCACTACCTGCCTACTTGCTTTGATGCAACCTGGCAGGTCCTCCCAGCCTCTCCCTGAGCTTTCCATGTCACAGTGGGATCTGGTTGTCAAGTTCAATGGGTTTGAATCCCATGCGCCCACTCTCCAAGGCTCCAATGTTTAACTACTTTCCCCTGAAACTTGCCAGCCATCTGACAGTTATATTTATTATTTTATTTTATTTCTCTGGATGTTTTGTAAAATTTATTTTCATTTTATTGGTTTTGGGTTACTTTAAAAAATTTTGTCTACATTTATCTTATGGTGTCCTCTCCCTTAGGTAGTTGGTGTGACCTAGAGACTTTAGGGCTTCTTCCTAAAGAGCTGTTTTTCTCTTTTCTTCCTTTTTTTTTTTCTTTTTTATTCTTTCTTTCTTTCCTTTTTTTTTTTTTTTTTGCCAGTCCTGAGGCTTGTACTCAGGTGGGCACAGTCCCTGAGCTTTGTTTGTTCAAGGCTAGCACTCTATCACTTGAGCTACAATGCCACTTCCGGCTTTTTCTGTTTATGTGCTACTGAGGAATTGAACCCACGGCTTCATGCATGCTAGGCAAGCACTCTACCACCAAGCCACATTACCAGACCTATGTTTTTTTTTTTTCCTGTATCTAAAAACCTTTAATATAACATACATAGTGAGCCAGGTGCTGGTGGCTCATGCCTATAAACCTACCTACTCAGGCGGTAGAGATCTGAGTATTGAGTTCAAAGCTACATAATACAGAAAGTGATACTCTTATACACAATTATCCAGAAAAAAAAGTCAATTAAGACCACAAGGTCCTGAGTTCAAGTCCCAGAAAAAGTATAAAGCGTACCTAAGTCAATGTCTCAGTGGGCAAGGATTGCCCACTGAAAATGTTCTTATTTTGATATCTTGTCAACAGTTAGCTATATTGCTTTTATACTTGCATATATAACATAGTACATAACTATAAATATGACTCTTTATATACATATATAATATATATTATATTATCTATAATATATGTATATTATATAAAATCATAGAAGCTGTTGCCTGTAAGAACTGGGTAATAACACTCTTATTATTTTAGGTGTGTGTGTGTGTGTGTGTGTGTGTGTGTGTGTGTGTGTGTGTGTGTGTGCTATACCTGGTACTGGAACTCAGGGCTTGGGCTCTGTCCCTGAGCTTTTGGATTCAAGGCTAGCACTTTACCACTAGAGCCACAGTTCCATTTAGGCTTTTTTGGTAGGAAATTGTAGACTTTGCTTCTGGGCTGGCTTCGAGTCCATCATCCTCAGATTTCAGCCTCACGAGTAGCTAGAATTATATAAATGAGCCACTGGCACCCAACAAGCTGATTTTTTAAAAAATAAAATAGATGGGAACTACGTTGTGATATCATGAGACATTTTTCATAATTCACACTTGTCAACTTTTGCTCTAATCTTCCTCTGAGTTATTCACTTCAGTGTGCAGTCAGATTTGCAGCAAAGATGAGAGAACGGAGCTTTAACAAGACATACAGGAAGAGATCTATTTTTTCATAGTTTGAAATACACAAAACAATTCTCTTGAATTTTCATTCTATGTTAAGATATGGTTCAGAAAAATCTTCCAATTAATGTATGCAGCTGGGAAAAAACTAGAACAACATAATAAAGAAGAGAACATCTTATTTATTACTGTTTATTGAATCAACATACAACAAATCCTCTCAGGCACTTAGACATAATTCACCATATGACCCACATGGCTTGGAGCTTGGGAACAGATAATTTATATTTGTGCTTGCTGTTGGGAACCTTTTTCCCCCAATGCACATTCAAAGATGGGTGTGCTTACCTCTCCTGGCCGGATCTTAATGTAAAAGTTGTTCCGTTTGTATGAAATTTTCAGGACCTTGGGCCAGGCAAATCTGTTTATCCTCAGGCGGTCACGATATATCAACAGGCCACTGGCACAGACTCCTAACATAATTTCGACTCCTTCTGAATCCTGGAACACAGCAGCAACAAACAATGGTCCTGTATTTCACTGTATTTCTGTTTTCCATTCAGCCAAAGTTTTAACTGCCAGGATGGAAACTATAATGGACTCATTTAAATGTGAAAAATTACAAGTGGCCATTTATAAATCTTCATCATTAAAGAACAGCATTTTAATGGTGATATTTTTCACTGTGGCAATCTGGAGTAATATCTGCTCAGCCAGGTATCTTAGCCTGAGGGCATAAATCTTGTACCTACAAAAGGCCAAGCAGATGGTGGTGAGTTAATAATTGTAATAACAGTGCACAGTTCTTGCTCACTTGTGTCAGGTACTCGTGTCAGTGCATTCTGGGCAATGCTTGTGAACTTCCAGTCTTTACAATGCTGTGTGGAGACAGTTGCTATTCTTATCCCCATTTAACAGATGAGAAAAACTGAACTACCAAGTCCCATGGTACCCTCGTCCCACAGGCCACACCTTTAACTGATCAATATGCAAACAGGAGGGACCTTGTTTTCTGGGTGTTTGGCTTTTGTTACTTTAAATAAAGAGCCGTAATCTTCTTTATATACCATTATTGTCTGAGTAAAATGTAAATATCAAATAGTTTGAATATGAAGTTCCCCCACATCTTTCCAAACATAAACATGTTGAGTCCCTTAACATTATAACTCCCAGGGATAAATATGGACATTTTGTATATATATATATAGCTTTTAAAAAATGAGATCATACTCTATTGCAACTTCCTTTAGTCCCTTGCACATCTTATCTGTAGGTACTTCCCTAGGGATATGTGAGGGCCATCAGACAAGTATGGTCAAGCTCTAAAGATGTTTGGTGTTATATGTAGATTGTTACCATTAAATATGGTAGCCTGAGGCAAGAGGATTGTGTGTGGTATAGAGTCCCACTGCCTGTTGGAAGCAGGGGACAGAAAGAGTCACAGGTTGGTCACAACTAGGAAGCTTTGCTCAAGACTTTTGTCTCACAATCAGCAGGGCTGTCCCCAGCTTAGGAGTCACTGGAAGCCTCAGCAAAGGGGAGAGGGTAAGAAGAATCCAGACAGAGAGCCACAACTCATTCATAGGGAGGGAAGGTGTTTCCCCAGTCCTGTCAGCACCAACGTAAGATGGACGTATCCAGAATCAAGAAATAAATAACTTAGACCCACTTCTAGAAAGTATTAAAGGTTTAGCAATAGAAGAGAATTGGCTTAAAATATCTCCCCTTGGAAAGGCAACACCCCAGTCAATATTGGTCTTACTGTATAGGAGTAGAACTATTTGATGGTAAGATATGATAATAAAATTAGAAGCGAGCTCAAGACTAGAGACTGCCCCCTTTTGTCAAGAGCTTTACTTTGAAAGGACATTTTAAAAAGCTACACTTGATGCTTTCTGGTCACTGGTATGTTTGGCCCTTGCGAACCAGTCAATCAAGTCAGTTGACAGTCAGATGCCATCAACAGAAAGGCAGGCTTGGGGAAAGGACTGTTTGTTGAATGGCTGCTCTTTGATTCACTTTCTACTAGCCACAGAACGCAAAGTTAGAAAATATGCCTACAGCCTACAGAGAGAAAAAGGACATTTAAAACCCTTTTTTAATTACTGTGTTAAAATTACGCCTTAGTGTCACCAAGTCACAAGGACGTGGTACTATTCCTGGAAAAGATGAAGAAGGTGTAGTAGATACCTCCTGTCCTTGTGCCTCCAATGCATGCCTCTCTATGTTCCCAAGTCAGTTTGTCATAGCTAGCATACCCATTAGCAAATGCTGTTGCAATAAATTCCCCTTCTTTTCATTTTTCATTTTCATTTTATTTTATTGTAAAGATGCTGTACAGAGCGGTTACAGTTGCATGAGTAAGGCAATGAATACACTTCTTGCTGAGCATTGTTACCCCCTCCTTTGCTGTCCCTTCTTCCTTTTCTGGGACAGTAAATCTGGTTGGGAGAAGAAGCTCTATTTTTATCTTTGTGACCTTGTGACTAACACAGAACCTGCCCAACATGGATCAGATAACACATCTGTTGATAACAAAGTCACTCAAGGGGCTGGGAAGGTGGCTCAGTGGTAGAGCACTTGCCTTGCATGCTCGAGGCCCTGGGTTCGATTCCCCACACCACATAAGCAAAAAGAAAAAAGCTGGAAGTGGCGCTGTGGCTCAAGTGGTAGAGCGCTAGCCTTGAGCTGAAGAGCTGAGGGACAGCGCCCAGGCCCAGAGTTCAGGCCCACGACTGGACCCAAAAAAGAAAAAAGGTCACTGAAAAATGAAAATGGTAGGAATATGTGAGATTTTACAAGAGATGAATGAATGAATTAATTGTACAGCAATAAGAAATGACTTTTTCCCCCTTAGGTAGTCCTGGAGTTTGAACTTAAGGCCTTGTGCTTATTAGGTAGAAACTCTATACTTGAGCCCAAATCCCAACCTTCTGCTTTAGTTAGTTTTTAGATAGTGTCTGACTAAATTTCCCCCGCCCCCCCCCCCCACGGTGCCCCTCCCCCCCACCTCCTGCCCCAGATCAGCCTTGGAAGTTGATCTCCCTACCTGTACCTCCCACACAGCTGAGATTATAGGTATCTATCACAAGCTTGTTTTGTAACAAGATTTATCTTGCTTTTTTTTTTTTTTTTAAACTAGGTTAGCCTTGAACTGCAACTCTCCTGATCTCTGGTTGTCAGGCTGCGTTTGCAGGTATGAGGCACCTTATCCAATTCAAGAAGTGACATTCTCATATCAGATTTTCTGCCACACACAGTAATGTTGACAATTCTTTGGTATGAAAAGTCTTTCTTGGGATCAGGTACATCTCACTCTCAACAGATAGATAACATTGATCCTTGTGTTAGCAGGGGGCTCTGAATGTAGACAGGGAGAATTTCAGTACATCACAACTCAACTGCTCCTTTCACTTGGCACCAGTGTTCAGACACTGCCATCCGTCAGCACTGCCTAATTCATGGGCTATCTCATAGGGATTTACACCTGTTTTTGATAATCTTACATAAAATAAATGACTGTCAAAGACTAATAATGGGCAATAAGTGACAAATAAGTGATGACTGATTTCCTAAGAAAGGAATCATTTAGGGTAAGTTTTCCAATGCACACTTAGAATAGGTTTCCAAAACATAAGACCTTCTTCACTGACTATGGATATTTCTTCTCTAAGGCTACAGAGATCAAGATCCCAATTCCAAAGGTCTAAATGGATCAACAGAGCTCAAAGACTTTCATAGCATCCATGGGAAAGAAGCATTTCACTTATGACTGGATATTAGTTCCAATTTAATTTAGTAAATTTCCTCACTGAAATGATGGAGTATAAATATATGGAAAAATAGTCTATAACTGAATCATTAGTTATACTTAATATTCAGATAAAATCTTACAACAGGCTGCACTCCATTTCCGTAATTCTCTTCCTCTTAAATTGGCATAATTTCAAATCATATTATTAAATGAAAAAGGAGCCATCTATTTTAACTCAGTAGCTATAGCAATGTTAAGTGATTGCAGTTTTACTGATAGGAACATTGATATACCCTACATTGGATTTCTCTAAATGTATGGTTTAATCTTTCATCTGTTTCTAGGCAGTAAATGAAGCACAATACGTGATTTAGCTTAAAAAAAAACCCCACAAAACAACAGCTTTCCATTGACTCAATCATGCTACTTTTATTTCCATCTTCTGTCCTTATCTTTTAGCCACTCAGAAAAAAAAAATCAAAAGAGAAATGTTAAAAAAAATCAACAACTAAGTGTTGGCCCTTATTTTTATTTTGAAAGCCCTTACACATGACATAAAATGGAAAAACATCATTGTACCTGAGTGCTAATAAAGTGAAAAATTATAACACTGAACTGGTAAGTAAATGGAGATAGGTTTAATGCTATAATTACCAGAGATGTCAAAGAGCCTGGCATCAAATGCACCTGCACATTCCTAAAGAAGACCTGGTTAAGTCTCAGAGATTTTGTCAGTATTCAGACCTTGGAACTGTTCATTCTCTGAGACATACCTGGCAACTGATTCTCAGACATCACCAATCAAACCAAACCCTGCCTTGTTTGAGGGCCACCATTTTCCTGTTCAAATTTACTATGGATTAGTTACTCTCCAAAGGTCAAACACACAGAAGCCCAATTGTGAGTATCAGCAGAACCTAGAGATAATTGATTTTCCCCTCTCTGGTCATTGTGGTTATTGAGATATTTACCTAGACAGAGCTAGCTGAAATTCTCTTATTTTTATATCTAAACATGACTGTGTAAAATGCTTGCTTGCCTGGAAGTGTGTGATGGCACATTCTTTTCAGTCCTAGGCTCTAAAATTGGTCACTATCAGAGGTCAAATCCCTCTCTCTATTCAGGGAAGATATCTTGTTAGTCCCATACAGAACAAACTAATCAATAACTTTAAGTAATGTCCCTCTGCATACATCTGAAGTACGTGGAACCATCCCTAAGAAGCCCAAAATATTTTGCTGATAAAACTTTTCATGGTAGTTTCCCTATATTTACATAGTGCTTCTGTAGGCTGGAGCTGGGTATCAGTGGCTCACTCTTGTAATCCTAGCTACTCAGGAGTCAGATTCAGATTCAAAGCCAGACTGGGCAAGGAAGTCTGTGAGACTCTTATCTCCAATAAAGCTGAAAGTAGAGGTGTGGCTCAATATATTTTGTTGAGCAAAAACATTAAGGGATAGCTCCCAGGCCCCTGAGTTCAATGAGTTAAAGCTCCAGTACTGCAAACACATACACATTAACCCTGGTATGCTGGTAGTCCATACATTTTTTTTCTCTCACTGCCAAAATTCCACAAAAGTGGAGTCAAACCCTCCCAGTTTACTTCCCACTTGCTAGCCCATGAAGCAATTCTTAGCTGGAATGGCTAATCTTAGTTGGATTTAAAATATAATCTCATTTTGAAGTATATATCAGAATATTTAAACCTCATAGATAAAATTATTTAAATTTAACCTAGTTAAATTTAAATTTAGTAGTTTAAATTTAAATTTGGTAGTGTACCAGAACAGGGACATAGCCAGTACCTGACACAAAACATATGTGTCACTCTGGTGTTGGTCAATCAACCAAGTTTAGCCAGCCAAGAAAGAAAGAGTAGAACAGCCCAGACAAAAATGGGTACATTCAGATTAAAGGCAGAGAAAGGTTCTAGTGGGAGCAAAGGACCCATGTTGGCACATAGCATGGGGTGAGCTAAGAGCTTGTTTGTCAAGATGAGCCTTCAACTGAATTAACCAGGCAATCAGAGAGGCTTGGCCTGTGGTGGGCTTTCGGAAGGCTTGGCCTATAAGCAATGGAAGTTTGGACCATCAAGAGCAAATCCCTACAGCAAATAAGAGGGCTAAATTTGTTTTATAATAGAATAAGGGCTTAAAAAGCAGACAGAGATTTGAATCCACAGTATTTTCATGCACATTAACTAAAGTGCAAATCACCAGCTTCTGGCAACAATAACAGTAAATGACATGAAGTAGACTGGGTTTAGAACTGCATACCTTGGCATGGTGCAAATCTACCCCATACATGGAGAGCTTTTTGGCATTTTCCAAGAAATGCATTTCTGCTTCTGCTGGTGTCATTCCTCTGATTAGAAAAAGAAAATATGTTACAAGGCTGCTTTTCCTCTTTATCAGTTAGAACTAAAATTAAAAAGAAATTAGTTGATTTTCCTTCTTCGTATCAGCTGCTTTGCTTTGATCTGGCAAGGCTGCAAAATTTCTCATTTAGCTCCCAGCTCTCTCATGAGAAAGCTCCCAGGGAGGCCCTGTGGATTCAGGGTAAGCACTCCTAATTAAAAAATGCAGTGTCTGAAATATTTCAAAATTGGAATCTTTCTGAGTACTGATATGATGTCACAAGTGGAAAATTCCACACTGATTTCAGGTGGCTGGTCATAGTCCAAATGGAGGTGCAAAGAAATATTGTACCAAACCACCTTTAGGAGGTATGCATAAGGTATATATGAAATATAAATGGAATTCATGTTTAGACTTGGATCCCATCCCCAAGTTATATAAATACTACCACATTCCCAATATTCTGAGACACTTCTAAGCCTAAGCATTTTGGGTAAGGGATGCTCAGTCTGTAGATGGGAGAAAGTTCATGAGACAAATGGCTATGAATGGAAACATTGCAAATGGATGCTTAGAGGCACTGAAGGACCCTGGACTTTGACCAGGTACCACCAGTCACTCTGCTAAAGTCTCACGTGTAATCTACTAAATAAAGTCCAAGGCACTGGTTAAGGCATGCTTTCTAGTTTCCAGCACTAACCTGTGGCTCTTGTGCAGCTCGATCACTTTGTCTTCCAGTTCTTTAGTGTGGTTGGGTGCAAAGCGGAACTCGCTAATGTAATCATTCCCACATTCGTCAGGGTCATAGTCTCCCAGTTCTGACTGGACTGTGTAGGAGCCCAGCAAGGCAAGGGTCACAAATGAGCAAGGCAGCCTTCCAGACACGATGTCATCTCTCAATTGTAAGCAGAGGTAGTACCTTCCAGAAGCCAGAAGGACAAAAGGGAAAGCCAGTATCAGGAGAAGGAGCTCCTCCACTATAAACTGTGGGTCAGTAACTTCCCCCCTGTCCAACAACTGCGGCAGGATACATTTTCCAGTGTCCAGAGGTTGTGATAGTTATTTCATCTAAAATTGATCTAGACACATGGGAAAACTACTAGGCTATAAAATACAACATGTAGGGATATGAGAAGACAATAGTCATAATAAAACTAAGCTAGCTTTACCAATAAAGTAAAAGAAATCTAAAGATATGTTTTCCTAACATCTTTTAAAAATAACTCTTGAATTCCAATCAATAGTGTCCAACACACAACCCCTGAACTCCTTGGTTGAGGAGTTTGTAATATAAAAATAGTGCTCTTAAATATCATTAGTAGCCCCAACCAGTCTTTTAAGGTCTAGGTTCCACATCTTGCCACTTGACCAAGACCTAGTTCAGGTAACTCACAAACTATGCTTCATGAAGGCTGTTCTGTTCTACCTTTCTGCATTTCTGGCAGGATTTCCCCTGCTTTATTTCCTTTTACAGAGATATCTTCCTAGAATCTAACAGACATCAATGTGAACTTTGAAGGACATCTTAAAGTCTGAGAATTTTATTCCTACAAGTAACGTGAAGGAACATAAAACATTTTTAATGTAATTTTGCCATGCCATCATAAAAGTATCTCCATTAATAGCTGATTTGTCTCTGGATTTTTTTTTTGCACCCAAGATTTACAGTTAAGGCATCAACAGCAAAATATTTCAAGGCTTAAATAAAATCGAAGAGTTTTAACAATACTGACATATAAGAGGCACACCGCCAATCTGTTTAGACAGGACTATTGTAATGTCTGAAGGTCCACTCAATGCATTAAACCACAGATACAAATAAAACCCAACCCATGATTGGGTTGATGCCAATGATTTTCCTGCCTGGGCTGGCTTTGAACTGTGATCCTCAGATCTCAGCTTCCTGAGTAGCTAGAATTCAGGCATGAGCCACTGGTACCCAGGCTCTATTGTCTTTGGGTAGTTTACCCTTTAACCTTTCCTTTCCTCTTTCTCTTTTCCTTTTAACTTTCCCTTTCCTTCACTTTCTTTCTCCCTTCCTCCCCGCAACCCATGCTTCCTCACCTCACCTTTCTACCCTTCCCCTAACTTTCTTATCTCCTCTTCTCTCCTCCCCACTCTCCCTTAGCTTTCTTGCTCAAGGCTGGTGCTCTACCACTTGAGTCACAAACTCACTTTCTAGTTTTTTGGTGGTTAATTATAGATAAGAGTTTCATAGACTTTCCTGCCTGGACTGACTTTGAACCTGAATCCTCAGATCTCAGCCTCCTGAGTAGCAAGGATTACAGGAATGAGCCACTGGCACTGGGCTCAACCTTTTATTTTTTTCCCCAGAAAATAAATCATTTTCTTTTGTATATGTACAGGGTATAAGAAAGGACATGCCTAAATTTATATGTGCTTTTATGTATCTGTCTGTACATGGTATTTTTATAGAAACAGCTGTGAAGTCTCAAGTTGATTATATACAAAGCATAAGTATTCAGACATTTCTACTCAAAGTTTTAAAACAGGAGTGCTCAGAGTTGCTATATCATTTAGGGTTGAAACCTATCCAATTTGGCTGTGGTGGGAGGATGACAGTATCTCAGTTCTGAGTGCTTTCCCACGAGGGTCAGGCAGATAGAAATATTAGCCTAGCACCAGCGATTCAACTGTGAACAGACAGGATCCAGCAACTCTCCTCGGATGTTTCCTCTTATTCTGTTGTCTTTTGTTTGTTATTGAGCATGGATAATTTTAAGCCAATCAAATGTAAGCATGCTCTTCTCTGCATCTAAATGATGAACAGCTCACCATAAGGCTGCCTTGTTTCATAACTTTCTCAAATACCTGGTGATATCTTCAGATAGCTGGGCAGGATCTGGTGGGTAAAATTTCACATTAAATGAAAAGTGCCAAACACCACCTGTAGGGAATAGGAAAATCAAAATAAGAATAAAACGTCATGGAAAAAAACAACTAGTCTACTTGCGATCTGAATTACATTTAGAACTGTTTCGACTCCAAACTTTTTAATCACGAATGGAAAACAAGGAAGCCTTTGTTAAATAGAATCCATACATAGGTCTGAGACCCCATCTAATTTCTAATCTTCTCCTCAAGTCAATCCTTTACTGCACTTTAAGCTAGCAATAATATTAACCAAACTTCTTCCTTTTCTCCAGATCAAAGATAAACCTTTGGAGAAGGGGTAAAAATGTGAAGGATGGAACTAACTCTCCTTCAGCTGACTCTGGAACTGGACTCTGGAATTTCTGGGTAGTTCATATACCAATACTAAAGACATATTTCCCCTTTGCTTTGTCCTTTCTGTTTTGTTATTGCAGGTCAAATCTCATCACGGTAAATGTCAAGGGGCCAGTGAACACTTTGCTTTATGGGAAAGGTTTTTTGGTAGTGAATATTGCTTTAATATTGCTCTGCTGGTTGTTGAAAACAACCCTTTTCTCCTTTTATACATGTATTCTCTCTATCAGATCCTCCCTTAATTTATTGAACTTGTTCATTTTTTTTGGCTTCTAAATGCAGTTATTTACTAAATTCTAAGTATTCCTTTTCTGTAGTACTATTTGTGTCTGTTTCTTACTAATAAGCAAACCAAAAGTTCCTCTACCCAGGTCCTGGTTGTACTCTGAATGGTGTACTGAAAACTTCCCCCAGGCTCACTGGCTTGTCTCCTGGAAGCCACTTATTCATGATATACATAGTCTCATGTTTCTGTGAGCTTACAATCTGGACATTACATTCCAAATACTTCCTGAGGTCTTCCTGAATATCTTTCCCCATTAATAACTTCTGGAAATTCCATGGACTCCACAAGCCCTTCCCCAAAATTGAGAACACCGGGGACTAGAACAACCACTTTTTAGCTCTTTTTTTTTTTTTTTTTTTTTGGGTCCGGTCATAGGGTCTGAACTCTGGGCCTGGGCGCTGTCCCTCAGCTCTTCAGCTCAAGGCTAGCACTCTACCACTTGAGCCACAGCGCCACTTCCGGCTTTTTTCTTTTTGCTTATGTGGTGCTGAGGAATCGAACCCAGGGCCTCATGCATGCAAGGCAAGCGCTCTACCACTGAGCCACCTTCCCAGCCCCTTTTTAGCTCTTTTCTTTACATAAATGATATTACCTAGAATTTATGTCACAAATGGTACAGAGATCCCTCAATTACTCCTGGTTTATTCTAGACATCCCTATTTATGTTACAGTTAAGATCACACATGCTTACAGGTCTACCTGAGATGTCTGATAGGAGATGTAAGAGATTAAACTAAGGCCTAGATATCACTGAGCACGAATCAAACCACTCAAAACATTATTGAAACACTGGGATATAACACATCACAAATACCTGTCAATCAAACCTAAATTTCTAGTGGTTGTTTTTTCCACTGTTGTCAGAAAAAAACCCTTTATTCTAAAAATAGTCTGATTTGGTTTTACTTTCTTATTGATTTCTGCTCATGTCCACTAAAATAGATCCTTTCAATGTTTGCGCAGGAAGTCATAATGAGAGCTGGCTTTCCTGAAAGCAAATAGAAATGAAGCTAATGGATTAGTTATGGGAAATGGATTTATTAGAGTCTCAGAAGTCCCATGTGCTTTAAACTATGCCTTGATTCCAATGAAAAGTCCAATGTAATGAAGCAATCTTGTGGTAAATTAGGAGTGAAAATTCTAAATTGGAAACCAGTACATAAAAAAGGAACAAGCAATATATTTCAGTATGAGAAACCTTGTTCTAGGAAAACAAGATGCACATCAATAAAAAGTATCAGAAATACTTGTGAAAATGTCACTTCCCAGCTTCTACTCCAGAGGTTTTTATATTCCTGAGATTTGGAATACAAGATAGATCCTGTGGTTTCAGTAAGCTTAACTGTGGATTTATATAGGCTGGCTTTGTAACCATAGCCAAAATCACTTTTACTAAGGAATCCATATGTCTGAGGTGATGTAACTCTGACAAATGCAGTCTTCCAGGCACTATTTTGAAATAACAGGACACTTTACAGAAAGTATAAAGACATCTACATGCTAATTAAGAAAAAATAAAGTGAGTAAAATGGGACAAAGAACAAGACATTGAGAAAGGCAGATTAAAGCTCAAATACATATTCCTGTAAAGATGGTGCAAACTAATGAACTGAGAGAAGGCGCTTCTACAGAGGCTGAGCACCTACCCAGCATCTGCTCAGAGTCCTCATAAAAAACAGGAAGTGGAACCATTGGACATGTTAACATGAATATTCCTACAATGACAATGTAGGAATTTAAATTACAAATTTATGATAAACAGAGAACTACGGCACTAAGGAGAGTTTGTTATAAAAACTTTCTCATTTCAGTCTTTTGTGCTTGCCAAATCTTATCATTCCTTTGTATCATAAAATTATTACGCATGATATACTCTTGTATCATCAATGAGTACATAAATATATATCATATATATAGTTAGCCTATCCCAAAGCATAGTATATTTAGACAACTTTTAAGATCTGGCATGAATAAAACATGGGTGAAGTTAGAATGTTTTCCTGAGAACAAACTCTTTAGGTTTGGAATTTGCTATGGATTATTCCATAGTAAATACTATCAATATTCTTTATTATGGATTATTTTGGTTCTCTGGATTTTGTCATTCTGGAGATATGCTGTGGGCTGTCTACAAAAAAAGAAAAAGAAGGACACATCTTTGTATCATCTGTGCATACCAAGAGGTGGCCGACAGTGTGATCTATGATGGTACTCTGCTCTGGTAGGATATGCCTTTTGTGGAAGCAGCACACCTCAGTAGATAAGAAACAAAAAGGAATATGAAAGAAAGTACACTTTTCAATCTTCTCTGCTACATTGTCAGCTTTCCTAATCACTGTGAATACACACATTACCTAATCTATTGATGAAAATGTGTTTTAAAAGTCTCACATCCAGAATATCCTTTCAGTTGCCTTGTCTTGCAGAAAGGAAAGTGAGATATAATACAGTATAAATGACAAGTTAGGGGGTGAAAAGAATTCTATTAATGCTGAGAAATAAAATTTCTACAGCTTTTTTGTCATCATATTATGATATACATTTACTCTACTCATTTTTGTACATTGTGAGAGCACTTCACAATTTATTTTTTAGTTTTTGTCGGTGTGAGGCCTGAACTCTGGGCCTGGACGCTGTCCCTCAGCTCTTCAGCTCAAGATTAACGCTCTACCACTTGAGCCACAGTGCCATTTCCGGTTTCTTCTACTTATGCAGTGCTGAGGAATGGAACCCAGGGTCTCATGCAAGCAAGGCAAGCACTCTACCACTGAGCCACCTTCCCAGTCCCACTTCACAATTATTAATCAGTTCAGTATTTCATTAGATGAATACTGAGTAGACTAGGCACACACGATGCTGTGATGCATATTCTGACATCCGCTTTTATAACTCTATCAAAGATTCTTAAAAACATTTTCATTATTTTCAAATTTTTTATTAGGATTCACTGAACCAAGAAAAAAGTAGCACTTTCACTAATTTATCACAATGTAGCTATTTCTGGCTTCAATCTCAATTAAGCTATTTCTATCAAATTAACTCATTATCAAGTTTTTGGTTAGTGGATATGTCCAATTATGTCAAAAAGAGGACAAATGATGCTTAATTGTATTCATGATAGGAAGACTGTCTAATATATAGAAGTACAGTGACATTTTGGGAAATACTGTCTAGTTAAGCTCTTCACCAATTATATTTTTTGATTACTAAGATCCTCAAGCTAAGGCACTAAGAAGTATTTGTTTCTTCAGATATGTTGATGGTAGGTGAAATGAACCCCAAGCTAAGTATTCAAATGTTTTTTCTTTCATGCGATTGTTTCTAACATATTTATGATTTCTTTGTTGCTTTGAATGTCCCTCCCCCGCGATATAATCCATGCTTTCACTGTATTTGATGTTGGTATAATTTGTGGAGGGGAAGAGAAAAAAACAAATCATTTAAATAGGGATACAGAGGTGGACCCATTGCAACAATGAGATGTACAAGTCGTTATGTTGAAAAAGGAACTTTACAACTTGGGGGAGGGCGGGGGGAGGGAAAATATGGGAAGGGATAGGAAGGGGAAACAAAGGAGGAGGCAACAATGCTTGATAAGAAATGTAATTATCTTGCCCATGTAATTGTAACCCTCTCATTTTCATAATAATAAAAAAATTAAAAAAAGAAGTATTTGTTCTTTCAATGTAGATGGTTCAAAGTAGACTATTTGAAAACTTAAGTGGGAATAGTGTTTTTTCAGTTTGTGTGTGTGTGTGTACACGTGCACACCCGCACATATGCACAAATGTGCATGCTGGTATTGGGGCTTGAACTCAGGACTGTCTCGGGCTTTTCATTCAAGGCTCTTATCACTTGAGCTCTAGCACCACTTCCTGCTTTTTTTTTTTGTAAATTGGAGTTAAGAGTCTCATAGACTTTCCTGCTTGGTCTGGCTTCAAATTTCGATCCTCAGATCTCAGCCTTCTGAGTAGCCAGGATTATAGGTGTGAGCTACTGGCACTTGGCTACAATTCATGTACATACATACATACACACATACATATACACACACATATATATATGTGTGTGTGTGTGTATATATATATATATATATATATATATATATATATATACATGTGTGTATTCACAGTGATTAGGAAAACTGACAATGTAGCAGAGAAGATACTTTCTTTCATATTCCTTTTTGTTTCTTTTCTACTGAGGTGCGATGCTTCCACAAAAGGCATATCCTACCAGAGCAGAGGCACCAACATAGATCACATTCTTACACTATTGCCACCTCTTGCTATGCACAGATGATACAAAAATGTGTCCTTCTTTTTCTTTTTTTGTAGACAGCCCACAGCATATTTCCAGAATGACAAAATCCAGAGAACCAAAATAATCTATAATAAATAATAAATAATATTGATAGTATTTACTATGGAAATTATCCATATATGTAATATGTAATATATGTATATATGCATATGTGTATATCTGTCTATCTATACAAACATATACATATAGTACCAATTCTGTGGATTTGAACTCAGGGCCTGGTTCTTATCCCTGAAGTTTTTTACTCAAGGTTAGTACTCTACCACTTGAACTACAGTGACTTTTGGTTTTGTGGTAGTTAATTGGAGATAAGAGTCTCAGAGACTTTCCTGCCTGAGCTGGCTTTGAACTGTGATCCTTACATCTTAGCCTCTGGTGCCCAGCATGGTGTCCATATTTTTTCAGAGACAGGATCTTGCTATATGTCCAACCTGGACTCAAACTCCTGGACCCAAGTGATCCTCTTGCTTGGTCTCCCAAGTATCTAGGATACAGATGTGAACTATCACAACCAGCAAATAAACTGGTTTCAAATTTACTCTGAATTAGAATTTAAATACTAATTTTAAATTTTATATTGGACCTGTTGCAACAATGAGAAGTACAAGTTGTCATGTCGAAAACGAGCTTTACAACATTGGTGGGGGGGGGGAGGGGGGAGGATTTGGTGGGGGGGTTGGGGGGGAGGTTGGGAAGGGATGTGAAGGGTAAACAAAGGAGGAGGCTGCAATGCTTGATAAGAAATGTACGCATTATCCTGCCCATGTAATTGTAACCCCTCTGTACAGTATGTTCACAAAAAAATAAAATAAAATAAAAATAAAAAATTTTTTTAAAAAATTTTATTGTGAAAATACTGTACAGAGGGGTTACAATTACATGGGCAAGATAATGAGTACATTTCTTATCAAGCATTGTTGCCTCCTCCTTTGTTTCCCCTTCCCATCCCTTCCCATCCTCCTCTCACCTCCACCCAACCCTTCCCCCCCCACCAAAGTTGTAAAGTTTGTTTTTGACATAACAACTTGTACATCTCATTGTTGCAATGGGTCCACCTGTATCCCTATTTAAACAATTTGTTTTTGCCCTTCCCCTCCACAAATTATACCAACATCAAATACAAGGAAAGCAGGGGTTATACCGTGGGGGAGGGACATACAAAGCAACAAAGAAATCATCTTATAAATATGTTAGAAACAATTTCCTGAAAGAAAAAAAAATCTGAATACTTATCTTGGGGTTCATTTCACCTAACATCAACTTATCTGACCTTTTCTACTTGTCTCAGACATATACTAGTTATTGCAAATAAGGGAAACCATGGGACCTATGTTTCTTTGGGCCTGGCTTACAATTTTAAATTAAGTCATTGTTTAAAATTGTAAGGATTATTCTTGCAGAGAATGGTAAAATAGTCAAAAATTTCCTTTTTGTCAACCCCTTTATGCTGTGGGCCACTTCTAGAGGTAATTTATGTTAATATTTTTCATGTTTTCCAATTTTTCCATGTACTCATATATGTTTCATTTAAAAACAAATGTTGTTGTACTATAGATACTATTTTGCAAAGTAATTTTCACTTACAAAAGCTAAGATGTATTTAAATCATGAGTCCATGATTAACTTAATCATTATACAAGGTCACTTAAAATTGCTTCTAGTTTTCTGCTACTGTAAATATCATTATAAAAAACTTTCATGTGTGTATAATAATTCTATAATACATTTGTTGCACAAAATTCTTCAAGTAAAATTAAAGGTCAAAGAGTAATTATATTTTAAACTTTAATAAAGTCTGATAAATTGCCTTCTTACATGTTTGCACTAATTTATAATTCTACCAGTGGAGTATATGCAGGGCCATGTAGTTTAGTATTAAACTTATTAATCTTTGCTAATCTAAATAGGTAAAAATGTCTCATTTTAATTTGCACTTAATCATTATGATTTAGCAATTTGCTTAATACTCATCAGCTATGGGAATTTCAGTTTTTTGAGTTGCTTGTGGAATTATTTTGTCCACTAGAAAATACAGATCTCTTAACTTGCCTTTGTGGAGCAAGAAGAGAGGTTGTCACTAGATAATAAACTTCGTTCTGATTTGTTATCAGAAATAAAAAACTAAATGAAATAAAGAACAACATTACTTGTATGTTAGCTTTTTTATGTTCACAACAGATTTACTATGACATTAATAACTGAGTTGAGAACTTTAAATGATTTCCTCCAGTTGGAGTATCACTTGATTAAGTACTGTATTTCATATCTATGTATAGACAGAGGAATAGGTCATGTGTCAAAGTCGTTTTAATTTCTGAGCTGCTAAGAAAAAAAAAGGTTACTGTTTGAGCTAGACCAATGTACTAGATCAAATTTGAACCTGCATTCTGCCTTGTAATAACATGGTATCCACACCAGCCACTTAGACACGGATTACCAGCTCTCTAACATGCTTTATGATACTATATAAAATAATCCAAAATAACTTACTTCGAATCTGTTTTTTAATTTCCTTAGCAGGGTCCAACCAATTCTGAAAAGGAAATGAGATTTTTGAATTTCAATCAAAGGATGACAAAAATGTTGATTAGACACAGACAGGCTCTAAATGCACAGAGTGAGAGGGAAAGGGGGGTAGGAGGAGAAGACCCTCCCTACAGTGGCCCTATCTGGTGGCCTGCTGAGCCCTGTGAGGGCTCAGATACAGTCTACTGAAAAAAACTCTATGTACAATTCATGATTGATAATATTTTTTTCTTCATTGCCTCTAGGGATTTGAAGTAGCATTAGAATAGAGGAAAATAATGGTAGGAGGTCCTACATTCAAACAAGATGCACATAATTTGACACACAGACACCCTAGTCCTTTACTCTTCCCTTGGGAGTTTCTGGAATTACAGATTTTTTTTTTTAAGGCATCTACTTACAATTTTGTAATGAATAATTATTTGCTTAAGATTTGTGAAGAATCAGATCTTTAATAACAAAGGAAGACATTTTCTAGTAACTTCAGTCAGAATAAGCCTGAACCAAAAATAGGTAACACATGTAAGAGCAAAACTCAGTTTTTAGACAATGGAAGCAAGTTCCTCTCTCTTTTTTCTCAAGTAGTTGTAAGGTAAAGCCTTGAGCTGATGACAATACTCAGGTGAAAGCATTTACCTAGGTAGTACTTTAAACATTAAACACCTACAAAGTGCATTAGAACAGATGTCAGGTCAACAAATGACCCACTTTGTCTTCTACTTAGTATGAACATAAAAGTAAGTTGAGTGTCCATGGCTCATGTCTATCAGCCTAGCTACTTAGGAGGCTGAAACTGGAAGGATCTTGGAGCAGAGAAGTCCATGAGATAGAGGGAAGTTCAAAGTGGTAGGGTGTACCCAAGATCCCAGGGATTGCGGAAGCATAAAGTAGGCAGATTATATTCAGTCACCATGCTTAGCCTTAAAAGAAATTATTCTCATAAATTTTGGTGATAGGAAAGTATACAAACATTTGATTTTCATAAGTTTAAGGGCATCCTGTAAAACACTTCCTGGTAACTACACATAACCTCAAGTAGAAGAGCTGACTTACTGTTTCAAAACATCTAAGGATCGAGAAAGTTGTCAAGGATTTCCTTTGTGAAGAAGGATGATTAACAGTAGTTAGGGACCCAAGTCATAAATGTGTCCAGGTGCGGAAGAGGTAAAAGGCATGCAATGACTTTTCGTATTCTAATTTCTCACCTTCTGGTTTTCAGCATCTCGATATGTGAGGCCAAAGTAGTCTTTTTCTAGTAGGTTCAGATGCTCACACACTTTATCAAATAGCACTTGCCCTCTGGAGCGTTTCTAAGGGAAACAGAACAGAAAAATCAAGCCCACACTCACAGCCAATCCCTTCCAATTGCTGCACAAAGTACTGGGTCAAACTTAGAATAGTGGGTGACTGACAACTGTCGTCACTTTATTGTTTCCAGTTTAGTGAGAGCAATCCTCAACCTATAAAAGCCATCTTTGCAAATGAACAAAAATATTAAGTGTCAACAGTGTCACTAGTGCAGGGGACTGGGGAAGACATCAAAAGCACAGTAATAGGAATGTGGTACTTCGGTAGGTTTACGGTTAGATGATTATAAACCAATGGATTCCAAGCTGCAATCATCCTTGTAGACACTGGACTTTGATTTTTACCTCTGGAAGATTCTTTGGAATGGCTGACATCAAATAATGTATTCAAACTTATTCCAGTTACAGCACACATGGAATATTAAGACGTTCATAGTGGAAAAGAGTAGCGAGAACTCTCGTAGATGCTATGCTGCTGGATGCTATAAATGTCCACGTTGTACAATTCCTGAGCCCAGAAAAAAATATTAGCTCTGTTTCCTGTTCCAGTCAAAACATCCCAACCCTTTTAGAACACTCAGAAATTATGTGGATCGTTTTCCAAAGCCTATTCAACTATGCTCATTATTTTTGAGATTTCTACCTTGAATTTCTGTTATGACATTCAAAATGCTCTTGATTTCTTTGAAAATACTGCTTTTGTTTTTTCTTTTTTTTTGGGGGGGGGGGGTCCGGTTGTGGTGCCTGAACTCTGGGCCTAGGCGTTGTCCCTCAGCTCTTCAGCTCAAGGCTAGCGCTCTACCACTTGAGCCACAGCGCCACTTCTGTTTTTTTTCTTTTTGCTTATGTGGTGCTGAGGAATCAAACCCAGGGCCTCAGGCATGCAAGGCAAGCGCTCTACCACTGAGCCACCTTCCCAGCCCCTACTGCTTTTGTTTTTTATCTTTTAAAATTTGTCTTTAAAGTAGTTGTACAAAGGAGATACTATTTAACAAAGTAGTATATGAATTTGGATCAATGTCGCCCTTTTCATTATTCTCCCCCATCCTTCCCAAGAGAATAAATACCTCTTATTCAATGCAGCAAAACATTAAGTTTAAGAATTTTAGTTATCCTATATAAACATATGGTATAGAGATATGTGCTATATTTTGGTCTATCAACCAATCATTGAGATAAAGAGAAAAGGTATTCATCTGGGAGAAAATCATCCATCAGCTTAATTTATTGTGACTCATTGTAGCACATTTTTATTTAATTCTTCAAAGGTCTTTAAACATGGCCTTGAAGTATGCAATGGATTAACTGGCAACAATTAAGCTAAATTGCTTTTTTGTTTCTGGGGTACTAATATTTTACACTAATATCTTAAATATATTTGTCTTTAAGATTTATGTATTAACAATGGGACATATGAAAATTGATAAATTATGTCCATGCCAAAAAAGAAATATTCAAAAAATATTCATTGTTTGTGTTACTGTGCAAGTATAATTATGTTTAAAGTTAATTACTCAGTCCCTTCAAGCATGACTGTTCAGGAAAAAGGATAAATGGATGATAGAAAAGTAAAGATTAAACTGTAGCTAGCTAAATAATCAATGATATTTTTGGGAAAAATACTTTCATTAAGTATGAAACCAAATTATTTGTTAGCACATCTGTGTAACATCATTCACTGGATATAAATAATTGGTACAATAATGAAATGCTGCCTGCTAGCTTAAGTCTTTTATTTATAAATAATAGCATAGTGCCTGACAAATTGTAAAGTTTCCACAAAATGTTGGTTTTGATATTTCTCTTGCTATCTCCAATTTATAACAGAGAGCAAAGCACAGATAAATTGAATGGGATGGTAGTATTACATTATGGCTCTGGACGATGGCTGTAGAATCAGATGAAAGCCGGATTCAATCTTTAGTAAACCTCTTGCAACCACATACACCTCAGTTTTTTTTTTTCCTCTGCAAAATAGACATTTCCTACTTCTTTGATTGATATTAAATTAACATACTCAAACTTGGTCCAGTAACAACACTCATGGCATGTTAGCCACTATTACAACCTAGTGCTTGAAAATGGATGGAATATCTAATATTGAATTTATTGTTCATTGTACATGGTTTCTATAGAAGCATGTATCATTTTTGGTAGCATAAGAAGTAGTGTTAGTATGAACATGCTCTGCTCTTTTTTAATGCATTTTTATTAGTATTGTAAAGGTGATAGTGTCTAGTGAATACCACTGCTGCATTTTTTCACCCTTTGTTGCACCATTTCTATCCCTCCCAAAGGCAGATAAATGAACCAACAAGACGAAAGGAAAAGAAAACAAAAACAACAAAGAACAAAACCTCTTCCATTTCCTGGAGTTCATTTTAATAAATATTATTTTATATGATCAGATGTATATAGCTATTGCACCTTTGTGTTCCTCTCTAAGAATTCCTGCTGTCTCATATCAAAAATATACTTAGAACTCAAAAAAATTAAATCCCCCAACAACAAATCCTCAAAGAAACAACTGCCTGAAAAATAAGTGGGCTAAAGACTTAAAAGAGAGACTTCTCTGAAGAGGAAAGAAGGATGGCCAATAGACATATGAAGAAATGCTCAACTTCTCTAACCATAAAAGAATTGTAAATCAAAATAACGTTGAGATATCACCTCACCACAGTTAGAATGGCTAAAATCAAGAACTCTAATAACAACAGATGCTGAAGGGGATGTGGCCAAAAGGGAACCTTACTGCATTGTTGGTGGGAATGTAAACTTGTTCAACCACTTTGGAAAGCAGTATGGAAGTTCCTCAGAAGACTCCACATAGAGCTCCCCTATAACCCAGCAATCCCATTTTTGGACATTTATCTAAACAATCACAATCAAGACCATACTAAAGCTACCAGCACAACTATGTTTATTGCAGCATTGTTTACCATAGCTAAGATATGGAACCAACCCAGATGCCCCTCAGTAGATGAATGGATCAAGAAAATGTTATATATATATATATATATATATATATATATGTATATATATATATATATATGCATACACACACATAATGGAATTCTGTGCCTCCATGAGAAAGAATGACATTGCCCCATTTGTTAGGAAATGGAAAGACTTGGAAAAAATTATATTAAGTGAAGTAAGCCAGACTCAAAGAAACATAGGTCCCATGGTTTCCCTTATTTACAATAACTAGTATATGTCTAGGACAAGCAGAACAGGTCAAAAGCTATGTACATATGGCCATATAACCTGATGCTAAGTGAAATGAACCCCAAGAGAGGGACACAAGAGATTTTATCTTTCTTGTTGTTCTTTTTAATGTACTTATAACATACTATGTGATTTTTTTTTGTTTCTTTTGTATGTTCTTCCCCCATGGTACAACCCCTGTTGTCACTGTATTTGATTCTGGTGCCCTGTACCTTGTATATACATTTTTCTAATTTGGGGAGGAGAAGGGACATAACAAAATGCTGAAATAAGGATACAGGATGAACCATTGTAACAATGAGATATACAAGACACTATGTTGAAAACCAACTTTATGACTTTGCCTGCGGGTGGGAGAACGTGGGGAGGGAAGGGATGGTAGGGAAAAAACAAAGGAGGGGCAACAATGCTTGATAGGAAACGGATTTATTACCTTGCTCATGTAACTGTAACCCCTTTGTACAGTATCTTTACAATAAAAATATATACTAAAAAAGAATTCCTGCTATCTTTAGATATCCATTCCCTGTATAATATCTAATTGCTTTAGCTATACTACATTATTAATGTGCACACACACACACATATAATAGAGATTATTCAAGTACTCAATAAGTAAACAAATAAACCCAAAACAAATGCAATGAAAATTTTTCTGCTCCAGACTTTCGTTGATTCCACACCTCCTATATCCTTATACCCAACAGACTAGGCTTCAGCCTTCACTAGAGGAGTTTCTTCTGAACATGTGACAGTCTGTTCTGGTCCTAACGACAATTAGCCATTTTTTGGTGTATTCTTCCTTTTGCCTAACAGATGAAGTGGATTAGTCCAAGCAAAGGTTTTTGTACTAAATGACTGACTTTTACTGCTTCTTAGAACTTGGTTTCTACTAATGACATAGATCTCTCTGGCATAGACCACATTTTTTCTTATTGAATGTTTCAAATGCATTTTGAACACCATAATTTTTAAGACAATGAAATAGTGGTTCATTTCCTATACTGGAGATATTTTTCTATGAACCTAGACCAATTTCCTAGAATCTATTGTAGATGATTATATAGACTGGGAAAAAAAGACATTTCTACATTTTTTTTTTTTTTTGTCACTCTTGGGGCTTGAACTCTGGGCTTGGGCACTATCCCTCAGCTCTTTAGCTCAAGGCGAGCACTCTACCACTTGAGCCATAGCGCCACTTCCAGTTTTCTAAGTGGTTTATTGGAGATAAGAGTCTCACGGACTTTCCTGCCCAGCTGGCTTTGAACTGCGATCCTCAGATCTCAGCCTCCCGAGTAGCTAGGATTACAGGCATGAGCCACTGACGCCCACTGACATTTCTATTTTCTAAGTGTCTAGTGCACTGGGAGCTGGTTGACTTTGGAAAAGGCTATCAAATTATTTGGGTCTTCATTTCTCATCCTTGAGCAAAGGAATAAGATACTACAGAGCAAGGTGATTATGTGTTTGTATTGTAACTCACCTGCCTTGATTTGGCAGATATAAAGCCACTCCAGGACTGAAGCACTTGGTCTTTTCCCTTGATCTCTGTGGGGTTCTAGCACCCTTCCAAGTCTTTATGAGACATATGCTCCCAATGAATGAGTTGGGACATGACATAAAACTTGTTTTTCAGCTTGGCGCTCTCCCAACTCTACAAAATTCATATTTCTTTTTAATCCCAGAAGATTTTTTTCCTAGCATATTATCCAACTTTTCAAGTCAACTATTTCTACTTGTTGATACCTGAATATTACCTGCATAGAAAATATGTT